TAGTTAGATAGCCCAGAGAAATATAACAAGTTTCAATCTATACACGATTTTAATTTAAAGCTTACTCCAAGCGATTTTTATGCTAAAAGGATGGCTAACAGAAATGATCGTTACCCTCAAATTGGCTCATGTTTGGCAAAATATTTTGAATAATACAATGAATACAAAAAATTCTGCCTTAAGAGAATAACAGTTTATGACTTACTCTTCCCTATTATCAAGGTCCGCACATCACCTACATCATCTTGAAATAAAATACTAATGCTAATCCAATTTCTGTTTTCACTTAGTAGTAGTGATAGTTCAGGTTCAGGTTTGTCGGGTAATCCCTTGCGCGCCTAATATATATAAATTGTGAAATTGTGAAAATGTTTTGAATCCGCCAATTGATCAAGGATTTCTCCTCTCTGGAGCTATTAAGACGGTGCATGTTTACCGCTTGTCACAAAATAAACTTTTTTGTTTTCTGTAACGATTATGTAAGACTTTTTCACGTTTCTCGTTGACGTGATAAGAATTTGATGTTGTGTAGAATAGGCAAGCGTCTAATGAGGAACAATTATATATATATATATATATTTATATGAATACGCGTGTAAGCGGAACAGTAAATTTCTGCTTAAGTTCATTAACCGCGACTCGAACTAAACATTTGTTTACTTGATGTGAATGCTTGCTCATTGCGATATTTGGTTGTGACGTATTCGCAATTAAAGGAGCAAATGCCGCTATTGCTTAGGGTTTGCTTAAACGAACTTACAGCTATGTTTAGAGATTCTTCTTCTTTAAGTAGGCGTAACGTAGTGGGTAAGTGCCATCTTAAATATATTTGGTTTCTGGTTTTCTCGGTTAATCGATTTACGTGTACATTGTTTTATATTCCTTTTAGTTTATAAAATAAACATTGTTTACAGTAATTATTTGTTCATTTTATTTACATTTATATGCGTTTGTATAGAGAATATTAAATTTTGAGTAATGCGTCCTTTTCTTTTCATTCACTGAGTTGGCTTGAGTTGGAGCTTCAAAGATATAGAGCAAAATTTTTGCGTTTTTGCATTTTTTATTACGATTCGTCATTCATACAGGCAGAAGATATATATGTACATAATATTATCAGCACATTGAGTTAATTAACTAGAGACTTCTGCTCGTTTTGTGACGATTTGTGGATTACACATCAGCCAGCGCATGCACAACATATTAAAGGTATGGAAATTTTTTATGATTAAAATCATTCTTACATAAAATGTTTGCTTGATGCTTTCAGATTACACTTCAAATTCAAACGTGAACTGTAAAAATACCCTAAAGATTTATTTCGAATTCTTCGATTACATTTTTCGACTATAAGCAGATTCTTAACATTCAACAACAAGGTAGGAATTTCGTGTTCGTACATTGAATTTTTTTCATTCAACTCAGTAAATTCGCTAAAATGTATTCGGATCTATTTATAGGGTAAATATGTTTCAAGTGCTTAATAAGAATGAATCTGTTTAATTTACGAGATTTTGGACTCTTCTCCCATGTGCAGCTAAGCCCCTGAGTCTAATTAAGGTTATTGCTGACGATGCGAAAGAAACTTGAAACGCAGTTGAAAGCATTGGGCCACGGTTCAGCATTAAACTCCCTACACCAGTTTGCTTATCAAAATAAGGCGTTACATGGTCGAAAATGTGGTCACTTTCAATATTGTTCGTTCTTGGGTGGATCAAAACAAGTCGGTATATCAAATTTCAACAAATTTCTCAAAAATTGCAATCGATAAATTCAGCAAAAGAAAGAAAAAAAAAAAAAGAGAGAGAGAGAGAGAGAGAGAGAGAGCTAAATTTCAGAGAGTGATTCTGAATCGATTGGTATAATAAAACGTGCACTTATCTCAAGTACTTCTGCGTGTTGTCTACGTCCGCACAAACTTAATATGTCCTTGTACTACAAATAGTGTGTGGCATAAAAATTGACAAGGCGTGGGTATTCGTCACGAGACAAACATTGGATACTTACTACATGCGTTTTAATTTGTAAAATAAAAATCCAAATAATTCATTTAGGAAACGCGCGAATCGCCTAGCTTCGTTAGGGCGGCTTATTTCTTATGGCTTTGGTATTGTTGATGAATCGGATACCTTTCGCCAATTGCCAGTTACCATTTGCTCTAGTTAGCCTGATTATGAGTGAATGAATGAAAAAATGAATGCCACTGCACTCATTTTTTATGATGTTTATTATTTTAAATCACAATGCGATCTTTATAGGGAGACGGTTAGACTTGTTGTGCCTTGCTGTCGAGATTGCAAGCAAGTTGCGACCCGCAAGGTAATAAACTCTTCCATGGTGGTGGTAGGCATAAAAGCATAATTGAATAATAAAGATAGATATTGAACTGTAATCGGTAGTGGCATTATATGTTGAAAAGGTCGCGTTTAGTTATTTTAGATATTCATAAGAATGTTCTGCAGTTTTTGATTAGTTTATTATTTTATACATTAGCTTAGTAAATTTTATGATTTTATTTTATTTATAATAACTTATTCTCGTCTTTTATGTTTATCTTGTTTATTTACGTTTAGCTTTTATTTATTTATTTATTTATTTATTTATTTTTTTTTTTCTTTTTTCATAATTATTTATAAAATCAGTCTCAATACAAGCCATCTTAATATTTATTTAATAATTTTTTATTTTTTACATATTTTTAGTTTAAATCTAATATGATTAAGTTTTTCGTGAATTTTTGTCTTCATTCATTTAATGTACATAATATATATCTTATACAGGTGTGTATGTGCAGATGGCGTATGAGTCTGTGCTTGATAGTTGAACATAATAGCGTCTGAAGGTTTGAAAGCGATACAAATAAGTGTTACTTTCTTTATGCGCGTGATAAGGGGGTCTGCTGTTAATTTTTTTTTTTTTATATTTCATATTCTTTTTCATATTATAGCTACTGCATACATGTACATATATTATACATATACATATGTATATACAATCAAAAATGTTGTGCATTTTGCTTATTATGAAAATATTTCGTTAATAAATATAACATTCGATCCATTCATTAGTATCTAACTATTGTATATCTTTTATAAGAGTATTGCTTATTTGTTATCTATTTCAGGCGGATTTAGTGGACTTTGAGTTCGCTTTACATTTTTGAGAGATGGCCAAGAAAACAGAAACGTTTATTTATGCTGATTACGGGTATTTTTCGGTATTGTTATCTTAAAGTATAAAAGGCGTAACCTATTATTATTATTATTATTATTATTATATATTTTTTTTCTTCTGTAATTGATTCTTTTGTAACTAAGAGCTAAGAGAGCTTTGTTGTTCGTTTTTTTATCGTCAAATGAAGTTTTAAAAAGTTTCATTAGCGTTGCTTTGAAGATGTTGGCATGTTTTCATAGAAAAGTTCAAAGGATTAACAGGGTTCATCAACATTAATAAATAACCTGAATAGTTTTGTCTATTCCTATACATGGAGAACATAAATTCAGATATAATATTGTTTGTTGTTGTTGTGTATGCTTGAAAATTGGAAAGCGTTTGTTACGCCTTTTTTACTTAAAATTCCTTTTTACTCTGCCACAGGAGGAGGTTATAGTTAATGTTTCAGATAACTATAAGTTCGGCAGTTTTTTATTATTATTATTATTATTATTTTTTTTTCGTTCGTTTATTTCTATTAAATAGTCAGTTATTTCTGTGATCCATAAAAGCCAATTCATTTATAAATGTGGTCGTGTAATGGGAACTTAAATAAAGTGAATAGGGTTTTTTTTTTATTTTTGTTCATTATTAAGGTAAAAAGGACCTGCAATGATTTTATGGTAATATTGCTTTATAATATGTAATATTGGTTTATTTCTTTGTATCTTGACTGTTTCCTTTTTCTATTTTTTTTTTTTTTTTTCTTCTACATTTTGTGTGATTGTGGCGTTTTTTACAATTTAATAAACAAAAAAGTTTTATTTATTTAACACAGCGCAATTGTTGAGCACACCACTTCTTATTCTCACAACTATCACTTAAAAAGGATGTAATAATTTTCACGTTTTTTGTGAAATTTTTTTTTGTTTTTATTTTTTAATTATAACATCTACGAAAAGTCATTGGACAGCCTACAGTTCTCGTCCATTTATCTGTGCGTAGAACACTGAAACTTTCAAAAATTGAGAGAAAATAAGTCAGAATGTGAATACCATAAATCAAATCGGCTTGCATAAATCCATATTTTCTAAGTAGGTAAGATGGACTTTTTAGGGTAAAACCCGTAAGAAATGTAACAAATAATCTCCAATAACCTATCCTATTAAAAACTTATTAACTATAATAGTTGAAAAGGAGAAACTGATTGCGCGAGAACATTTTATAGACATACGCTGCATATATATTTTGGAAAGATATTTGAATGACTTCCTTTAAGATTTAAAAGTAAATGAACCTTGAGTGTTGGGTATTTTTAAAATTCATCCACAAGGCGAGTACGGCTTATATAATTTCTTCTTATTGTTTATTTATTGTTATACCCATCACCCATCAAAGCATACGGGTTCAATAAATATGTTTTTCCGTTTCTAGCACTTGAGAAATAGCGTATTCTACGTTCTATGAAAAGTACATTTTTTCACTCGGGATAACCAACCTTTCAAGTGTTTCTAAATTTCCGACTTTCTATATGGTTGTCCGTTTGTGTGTAATTAGATGTTGTAATGCTCATGATTGAAAGGCTGCTTATAGGCTGTTTAAAACTGTAGTGTCAGATGGTATCTCCAAACACTTCCGCGATAGGCCAAAGACTTATACGAAATATAAAAAAAAATAAAACGTAATATAAATATTTATCAAGATATGTTCGACTGTATATCACATGCCCACAATTAACAAGATTCTTAATCATTTCTTAACTATTGATTTAAGATGATGAGTATCAAAGGTCCGCCCCAAGGCGAACATAACGGTCTTACTTATTATTAACTATAATACATGTGTAGAGGCTTGTTCTACGCTTTATTCCTTAAACTAATCTTAATCAGTATTCTATGGTTGAAAGATCAAAATATAATTGTTTTTAGTGAGCCAGTGTACTTATCGTCACAACATTAAATTATTTCTATATATCTTCTCTTCCCTTGAAATATATCGAATTACATTTAATTGGAATGAAATTATTTTTATGCGAAAAGTTGCGTGTTTCTATAGTGGCGACAGCTATTGAATGCGTACATTTCTTAAGATGTTCACAATAAAATCAATTCCAAATAATCATAATATAGCAATAATAAGAAGAAAGAAAAAACATACGCTGAACTGTTGGTGGAATTAAACGATTTACGTTAAAAATTTATTTAGTCACTGTTTAAGTCATCGGCGATTAAACTGCGATCCGTCCCCTTCCAGGTGGTCGAGTTTAAAGCAGCCGCAGTTATACCGTACGTACCACTTGGTAAGCGTTTTTGTCGGCACAACGTCAAACGTGTTTTATTAGGGGAGAGCGGCTGCAGAAGTGGCGAAGAAGCTCGTGGAGAGTCCAAATCATCGGTATTCTCTTCGGGGCAACTGTCTGTCGGAGAAGCTATACGTTCTCGTGTTTTTATCGATTTCTCTAACCGTCTTAAAAATCTTTAAAGCAAAAATACTGATAAATATTCAATAAAAAATTCACAAAATTATACCTGATTTGATTTCCTATAGCTCGCAGACGATTAATTTTACATGTGGGACGTATTGGGTCGTCTTCTTTGACTATGCTTGGCGATATACGTCTTAGGAGAGCCTATCATTTCAAATTTTAAAGAAATTAGTTAGAAGACCAATCGCTAATCATATCCTTTGTTCTTTAATTTTTCTTTTACTTACATCGGCGACATCATCTTCACTAAGGCTCTCCTGCCTTCGCGTTCTTTTTTCACGATTTGGGGAATTTAGTCCTTAAACAGAAATTTCAAAGATGATAATGAAATAACAGAAACAAACTTATTGAATGTAAGGATTATATGACTTTTGTCAGTACGAGTCGCTAATAAACTTACGTCTGGGTAATTGCCTTACACTCAAATCTTTGGTAGAATTTAAGCTTTCTGATGATGACGAGCTGCTTGCTACTGCATAGCGATTTTGCAAACGTCTCTTGGGACTTTTACGGCTGGTCACGGTGATGGCGGAGCATGGGTGATGATGTGAATGGCAATGCTTGTTGCAAACATGAACACTGCTGCTGGGCGTTGAAGAAATGTTTAAGGATTCCTTTGATGGCATATCAACTTGTTTCGTAGGCGATTGCGTAGCGGAACATTTTGAAGATTTGCGCTCACGTTTCTTACTGCTGCTGCGACGTTGATGTGAGAACATTTGACCTGATGTGCCTTTGCCATCAGACGAGGGAAAATCATACAGACCGTCAGAGTCAGTGAAAGGCAATTGATCTTTGCGCCCGTAAAAGTAGGGTGAGAATCTTCCCATACTGGCTCTTTCACTGAGAGGGCTTTCGGAACGGGATGATACCGGTGACAGAGATTTTTCTCCTCCGTTGCCATCAATTTGTATCACAATTGAAGGTAGTTGTAATTGCGCCATTTGTGTAATAGTATTGGCATTGGATGTAAGTGTGGGTCCGGTGACCGAAATAGTTGGTTCATCTACTTCAATTAGCACGTCATCGTCTAGCAACGTATCAAACCGATGTCTACTTAGCCGGGTTTCATCAAGTTTTTCATCTACCGGATCAGTGCCAATGCCTTCGTCATTTGATTCGACCAATATATCATCGGAAAAGGTCTCTGAGTCGGATCTAGGACGGTGCGTGTTTAAATGTTCCGCACTTCCTCCTTCTGCAGTTTCTGCTGCACTCTTTCCGTTACTAATATTTTCCTTGCAACTTGGTAAAGCCGAATTCCGCCGTCTATTCAATAAATTAACATGAAGTGAGAGATTCGCGCTCGCATGTCCGCTACCCGGTTCATCCATTTCATTAGGATATAAAGGATTATTTGAACCGCAACGGCTTGGCCCTGGGCTGGCCATACTAGAGTAACCCGACGAGCTCAAGTTGCTTTCGGATATAGTTCGATCTGCTCGTGTACACATGGCGAAAGGGCTCAGGTAACACATGCCAACTGGATTTGGCGGAACCAGACCGTTACCGGTAGTGACTTTGGTAGCCGGGGATAGGGGCTCAATGTCCGATTCTAATTCGCTCATATTTGAAGTCACTGTTATCATGGGTGGTGTAAATGAATATTCCAACGAAGTGGGTTTCTCGTATTGTTTTAAGAGCCTGGAATGAAAATAAGTCGAAGCATGCATTCCGTAAGCCATTTGACACGATTGAAGCTGTTTAAATAGATTAAGATTTACACTTGCTTTCTAGAAACACCAGGCTAAATAAATACAAATACGTATATAGATATATATATATATATATATATATATATATATATATATGTACTAAGAGAAAACATTTAAAATTCTCATTTAGATTAATATCTAGATATGTCCTATAATCTGCATATGGAGAAGCCAGTTTCTAAACTTTAACAAGTAATACAAAAAACTCTACTCTATATCTATCATCAATTCAAAGATATTGACGCAAACAAAAGTAAGATTTACGTACAATAAATTATATGCATAACGGAAAAATCAAACTAATTAAGAGATATGGGATAATTATTTAGTTTCTTTTAAGATTGCGGGAAGAACGTTTGTATGTGAGTAAAGAGAGCAAGATCAGCGTTTATGTGCCATCGTGTATCTACATCTATACCTTTTTTGTTGCTGTTTATTTGGAAACATAAAACTCGTTTCACCTATGCTGGCACGCTGTGGCGGTGGTGATCCTGGTAATATAACCATGGGATGGTGAGTTTTGGTGGGACTAGCCTGTTCCACGGTCAGAGTAGGTATAACCAAGTCACGAGGACGTGATTGCTTCTCTTCCGGTGTCGGTGGCTCGATGTCAATAGTAATGCTGGGTAAGGTTGATACAAGAGCCTCCATCGGTGCGACAATGGCTGCTGTTATATTTAATGGTGATAGCTTACTGCCAACATCAAAATTCGTCTGTTTATTAAAATCCGCTATAGATGTAGTACAAGTGTCAGTTGGCGTTGTTTCTACATCTGAGTCCACTAGGCGCATTTTTTCCTTAGAATGGCCGGCAACTAGTTTGTCCTGAAATGAACAAAAGCAAAATTGAACCATTCTTAAAAATTTCATCGTACTTCAAAGTTTTACGATTTCGAGCTTAGCATTGAAACTTCATGAAGCTTACTAATTGGGTACTAGCAATAACTAATTTAAATTTTTTTTCGAAGTGAAACTTCTTTCGTTTCGGCAAAGTAAGTAAGAAAGTTAACATAATTCATAGAGCTATCACGAGATATTTGTGATAAAACTTGCAATCGACGTCCTCCGGAATTTGCGGCGAAACTGTCAAGAATAATCATTTTACTTTCATCAATCATCATCATCATCATCATCCACTTTACTACAAGCGCAAGTACTATTATTGCTCGTATGCCGTTCACGTTAAAACGGACGGATGGTGTAAAAATATTTCACTGTGATGTGCACTAGGAAGTGAGTGAAAGTGACTTGCTTTTTTGTTGTGCATAACTGATTTTACCAAGGGTATAATTTGTGTATACTGTGAGTTTAGAAAAATAAACAAAAAACAAGTATTCGAGCTATCGTCGGCTACGGTTCATCATTAAATACTCTGCACTATTTCGCTTAATACAGTTACTCTTATAATGATTTTTCAAAATAAGGCGTTATATCGGGACTGGTCGAGAAAGTGGTCCGATCCGAATAATTTTCAATACCGTTCGTGCTTCGGCAGGATCTCACCGAGACATGCTAAATGCGATCTGAGCGTTGAACGGAAGAACCTAACACGGACAAATGTTCAAAGGTGGATGTATCTCAAGTCCTTCTGCGTGTTACACATCCGCATGAACTTAATATATCCTTGCACCACAAATAGTGTAGAGTATAGATATACTGAGGCAATATTCTGAGCTTGTGTATCAGAGTCATAATTCCATTGTATAATTTTTAGAGTGTAGTGCAGATATAAGCTTTAAGAAAAACAAATATATTTTGAGGAAACAAATACATAATCTTTGAATATTTTGTTATCGTACAAGTTTCTATCTCAATGCCTTTGAAGTTTCACTTCAAACGAGCGTGTCAGCCACACATCGTTTTATTTTTTCTCAGAGGACTATATTCATTAAATATTTATTGCCTTTCAAGTGAACCAACGTCGATTTTTGTGATTATTTTCGAAATCTATACAAATTCCATCATCAGAACCAACCTAGGAAGAGAGTGATGTTCAAAAAGTTTCAAAAAATGCCAGGTTTTTATTATCTGTTTGGTTCGTCACCGTTTTAATCTTTATATATTGCATGACTTACCGATAGTTGAGTATCACTCCGATCACTTTTCTCTTCGTCTTCATCATCATCACCGTCATCATCGTCATTATCATCATCAGTAAACTCTGCACCAGATGATGGTTCCTGTTGGAATATTGGACTATTCGAACGTTGAGGACGCATCATTATTGGTGTTAGGGCCGGGGATGGTATTGGCGTCGGCATTTCTCTTATAGGCGAGAGGCATTTGTTATTGATGCCACTGATGGGTATCTCCAGCAGTATGGTCGGTGGGTGTAGCATATTTGTTGAAGATGTGGATGCTACTGATGAGGAACTGGATGAACTTTTATGTGCGTTTAAAACGTCTAGTACAGGCACTTCTATGGTTGTGGTTTGACGATAGAACACTGGTGAATCGGGCGGTCCACTTGATAAGCTCACCGGTGTATGCATAGACGATGTGGAAGATTCATCATCACCGGGCGCATCGTCTTGCGGACTTGAAACGGTGGGTGTTGTGGAGGGAGATACAAACACCGTCGCCGATAAAGGCACTGTAGCCGTAGCTGTTGTTTTGGAGATGGTCGGTACGGTTGTGGCCAAATTCCGGAACATGGCAAGTATAGAATCAGCGCTAGACACTTTCGCCCGAGCTGGTGAGCCAGCTGCAATACGGCCACGCAACGGCATACCACCCAACGACAGTTGATGATTACTAGTGCTAGTAATTTCACTGGCACTAGTTTGTATAGAACGCAAACCGAAATCGGTGAGCGCCAGATCAGAACTGGAAAGCGAATCGCTGCCATGATTAGATGAGGTGCTGTGAGGCGAACGTATATCGTTGGTGCATGGTGAGGGTGGCATAGAACTGGTTTGCATTTGTAAGTCAGTCGGTAGACTTATAGCACTTGAATTGCGTTTTGCCTGTCATATATGGCATAATAATTGCATTAAAGTTGGGCATAAAATTTTTGAAGAGGCAGAGAGAGAGAGAGAAAGAGAGAGAGAGAGAGAGAGAGAGAAAGAGAGAGAGAGAGAGAGAGAGAGAGAAAGAGAAGAGAGAGGTTTAAAATAAAAATGACATTATAATAAAGTGACATCCTAGGGGAACTGAATTTGAACAGATAAAAAGCAAAACTTATTTAGACGATATGAACAGGGTGCTGATCCTCAGACGAACACAAGCAAACACATGGGTATCAAGCGTGTTTCAACTTAATTTTATTTCCCGACCTCATAAAATGGTATCAAACACTTTTTTTTTTTTTTTTTTTTGCCAGCTCGATATTTTATTTCAATATATATCCGAACTAAAGTGTTTTATAAAACCGGAATAAGAAGACTTTTGTCACGAAGCGGCAAATAAAACAAAGCAACGCATTTTACGCATAGAATCGCGGCCGATAAAATTTTCGAAAATTGTCATTTAAATTATTTTATTACTGTAATCGTACTGTGGTCAATTAGTAGACCATGATAAGATGAAACGTCAAAGGGAACTAAAACAAATATCTTCACATAACCTCAAAAAAGAAAATTAAACAAACGTACCGCGTCAATTTGAAAAACTCTGCTTGGAACTATCAGTTATTAATTAGTAAATATACCCCAAATAAGTGTGCATCGAGCGAACTTAAAAAAAAAAAAAGGAAGTGGCTGACTGTACAAGATATTTCCAGTCAAAGAGTTTATTTTTACCATTTTTTTGTTTTTTCAATTCGATATTGTAAAAAGTCGTGTAAAAGCGAGCACGTGTGTATAAAGTATCGCGGAAATCTATGAACAACAGTGTACGTAAGTAGTATTCATAAAAAACTATACGTTTTGCACAGAGAACAAAGAAATTTGTGATTAGAGACTGGAAAAAATTATGAAAAACATGTTTTTTTGCATGAGTGCTTGTGACGGATAATCAAACAAACCCAAAACGATTCTTTAGAAATTTCGTGTAAATTTAGAGAAATGCTTCACACTCTTCCTCTATGCCGTAATCTGATCTTAAATATTTTGATTTATACTTTGCCTGAGAATCACATCCCTTAGCGTCGATTAAACAAAATGAGGAAAAATAGACCAAATAAAATATAAAAAAAAATGTAATAATTTTTATATGAGCCGAAAGCTTACCGCAATTGGTCCGATATCTACCTCAGAACCCGAGCTCATTTCCGCTGATACTTTACTTAATAAGCGAGCGAATGTGACTTTCTTCTCTAATTTGGGATCGTTAAGGATAACGCGTTCCATGGTGGCCGAAGTCAAAGAACCCGTATTCTCTGAGAAAGTAGTTTCTTTCATATCGCTTTCGGAATCGACGTTAGAGGCTCGTATACGACTCTCCGACAAGGATATCAATTCGCCCAAACTAACTTTGGGCTTGGCTTGGGCGGCTGATGGGGAAACTAATTGTTGCAGTATTTGTTTTTTTTCCGCTGCGTTCTTCTTAACTGGCGTAGAATTGTTGCGTTTTTTGCGAGGCGAAGGTGAACCTAGATAGCATTCATGAAAAAATAAATTTTCTTCGTTTAATATCACATTTTTCCGCTTTCAAATACAAAAAGAAACATTTATACAGAGTTTTTAGAATTTTGGTTTTCTTTTCTTTTTTTTTTTTGAATTTTGTACAAATTATCAAGAAACTAAATTACGAATACTTTCAAATGAAAAGAATAGCAGAACTAAAGAAGTGTCGATAATTTCCACTACATTTAGATAATCATTGACATACAATATAATAAAAAGCTGTTTTTTTTTTTTAAATAATTTTTTTTATAATAAAGTTAAAAAAGGTAGAGTGTTTCAAAGGCAAGAAGCTACAAACAAATTAATTATCATTTGCAACTAAGTGGGGGGAGAAATGAAAACATGCAACTCAGATTATGTTAAAACGTTTACAACTAAAAAACGAAAAACAAATAAATAAATTAATAAATTAATAAATTAATAAATTATTTATAATGAATAGTTAGTTACTTTTACCAATTTACTACAATGCACATTGAAAAACACACAACTCTTATTAAAAGAAATATTTAAAATATTTGAAGTAAAAGTTTTCGCCCACCAGCAGCCACAAAATTATTCCAAAAATAATATGTTTAAATTTAAATTTAAAATTAATTAATTACTTATTTAATTATGTATCGATTTATTAATACATATTTTTTTTATTTATTTATTTATTTACTTTTTCTCTTTTTTTTTGCTTTTTTTTTTCTTTTTTTTTGTTAATCTGATGATCTTTTCCTTTGTTCTTTTTAATACTTTTGATTTGCATGAAACCCATTTTGAGCATTTACCGTCAATTTTGTAAATTTACAAACAAATTGTGAGCATTATTTTTCCATCATAATATATGCATGTGTGTGCGTATGACTGATTTCAATCAATATCTCAATTTACAGATTATTTACAGATTTACACAAAACGTATTATAATTACAGGGCTAGCCATAATAATCAACGATGAGTCCATTTGGTATGCAGAGCAATTTTGATCAGTTTCGCAGTCGGTAAGCCGCTGATACAACCAATCGTCCAGGGTTCAAGCAATTTTCACTCTTAAATCAATTTATTGTGCATCGTTCAGCTATACGGACTAATAATGCGGACGAGTTGCATGATTTAGTAAATTAGGACCGCGTGAGAAAACCAGTTGGTGTTATCATTGTCCAATTTTTGTAAAACAATAAAACGAATAATAGTAAGTACTTGCGAAATATAAACTCGTGAAGAGAATTTAATTAAAATTAGTAATTAAAAATGCTAGAACACATGTAAATGTGTGGCAGAGAACTTGGCTTTTATAACAGCGAAGAATGGGAATTTGCATAAGAATCTCGCTCAAAATCAATGAGAAAAAGTTTGTGGCGGCTGTGTTTTCCTTTAAAATTCAGCTTGAGTTAGAAATTTGAAGACGGCCACGACATAGAATCTCGGTCGGCTTTGCAGTATTACATGTAGAATTTATTAAAATCAAAATGCAAGGATTTCAATCAAGCTATCAAATTTCTTATTACCCCTCCCTAAAGGCAATGCATGTACAAATTTACAATCAGGGAACTCTTTATACAAACACCTTACCATCTCTTCTCGCGTTGGTGTAGACACTCTCACTCTTTTTTTACAAGATGTTGAACTATTCTCCTCTGGTTAGTTTAACTGAGCCTTGCTTCTCAACCTAACCTTAGTGGAATAAGGAAATCTAGACGAAGGTAACGATTTTATAATTTATATTTAATATTAACATTAATATCTAATAGGTAGCTTTCGGTTCAGTTTTGGAATAAATATGCGCGCTCTTGCTTAGCTTTACACTCTTAGATAATTTAAACGAACTTCTGTTGTTTTTCGCCTGCTTGCTCTTCTCGCGGCTAATCTAGTTTATTGCTGATTGCGTACATCTTAATATGCGTTGCGATCATATTTATGCTCGCGCAAAATTCTTATATATAACTCTGGTAAATATACATATTTTGTTAAATTCTCAGTCATATTTAGTATGCATTGTTAAGGAAAGTATTTTGGAATTTTTGGTTGCTTTCAAAGTAAGGTTAAGTTTGCAAATTTTTGCAGACATAAACTGCTCCCATTTGAATATCATATTTGAATCAGATGCACTTAGTCGCACTCTTTGGCCTATTCTTTGTAATTTTGATGATTATTTCAGTAAGCGGACGCTCATACGGATAAATGTAGATAGACATGTATAATATACTAAATCTTTGATGCGTTATTCTCTATATTGTCAGCGAAATGATAGAGTGAATCAATAGAGACTAATACTGCGCTATTGACACTAAAATTAATAAATATTATGTTTTAGGAGGAGAGATAAGCGCGCAGTAGGCCAAGTGAATATTTCGTCCTTTGATTTCGCAAAGATTTATTTGCAAGATATTTCCAGTTGCAATATTTTCCAGATCACAAGCTTACGGCATTATTGTTAATTGAAAACAACCAAATTAGACTCATTGTGCAGCATTCTAAAGGGGATTGGTCGGTGTAATACGGGAAATTAATGAAAAATATATACAAAACTTTATTTAAAGCAATTATATATTTATGTATATACATGTATGTATATTATGTGTGTCTAAGTGTAGGTGTTACTCAGTTTCAAAAGGAGAGTTGTTTTTTTTTTTGTTTTTTTTTTATTTGAGATTACATATACTTCTATGTCGTTCGTAGGTGCAAATTATGAAGATTGTGATTTTTAAAAATTACGAAAAGCAAATTTTTATAAAACAGTCCAGTCAAACAAGCGGGACATACAAGTGCTGTCGTTACACAATGTGGAATGGTAGTTATGTCGATATTGTGTATTTAAGCGGGAGTATGTTATAAAAGATTTTGGGATCACAAAAAACAACTTTTCGATGAAATTTTTCTTTCTTAATATCAAATTTTGATTCCGGTCTGCGGAGATTGTAGCTTAAAGCATTTTTGCATTAAAACATTCTCTGGGGACGCACTAGCTTAACGTATTGGGAAGTGTTCCTTATGTAAAACTTTAACAAAAAATAAAATAAAAATTTTAAGTGAATTTTACATTTATGCAACATCAAGAGAGTTCAAAGTTGAATTGAGCAGGTATTGAAGGGATTATTAGCGAATCTCAAAACCAAGAGAAATTTTATATTCAGCTTAGGCCGAGTGTCTGCGAATATTCACCACCTCTACTTTCTAGGTTCCGATCCGAAAATTTTTATTAAGAAAAAAAAAAAAAAAAAAAAACTATAGACATCAATTAGATGCTTGATCTTTTTCATATTAGTATTTAAGTGTATATAAAGAAAATGCAAATTTAATCAACTTAATTTAATTTTTCATATGTAAAGGACATTGGGACAATAGATCTTTTTATTGCTCCATATAGATATCCTATCGATCTAGTTGTTTTTGTCAATTCATAGAACACAAATGCTTTAATGCATTCCCTATGTAGGAAATTTGCACTGAAAACGGCATCAGTGCAAATGACTTAACTGATATTTGGATGTTGATCTTGAACGCAGACAATGCTTTACTTGTTGTCGGCTAGACATTTACTTGTGTGTCCGATACGTGAATTAACAAATATTACATATATAATTTGCGATGGTGAATATTCAAGTTATGTATTTGTGCGTATATAGAAACGTATACTTGCAGGTGGTGAAGAGATGAAGGGGAAAGTGTGAATAGAGAGAGAGAGAGAGAGAGAGAGAGAGAGAGAGAGAGAGAGAGAGAGAAAAGAGACCAAAGGAAGATTGTGGAGGTGAAGGGTAAATATTTTACATACACAGTGTTTCAATGAGGGTTGAAGAGAAAAGCTAACAAATAGATAGATCACTTTGTTCAGGGAATTAGAAAGTAGAGCGAAAGAGAAAAGAGTGGACAGAGTCACAAGAAGTATCACAAAGTGTGTGTCTTTTATGATAAGTATTATAAATATTAAAATTTTTTTTTTTTCTTTGTCATTAATGCAATAATTTCTCAGATTATTTATGTTATTGATTTCGATTAAATTTTGAATTTAGCCTAATCTTACGTCGGGGAGGCGGTCGTAACAGATCGTCAAGTGAAAATGTACGCGCTGCTGCCCCTCCCCCTCCTTGTATAGGATTGGGGCTGCTGAGGCTCAATATTGATGGTTTTCTTATACCCAATCTGTTGAATATGGAACGCGGTGCGCCCGGTGCATTATTGACGGTCGACTGTGGTATGGCAGTTGTAAATTGCAATTGTTCGCGCAGTGATGTGTGATGATGATGTCCCCGTATGGAACCAGGTGCTGTTTTATATAATGAATATTATTGTTTTGTTCGGTTTAATATGTAATTTTTTTTTTGGTATTTTTCAAATAAGTAAACATCAGCGGAGTATATATATATGAAAAAATGAGAGAGAGAGAATATCACATAGAAAGAGAAAAAAAATGGAAAGACAGACAAGTATAGAATAGAATAGAAAGAAAGAAAATAAGAGAAATATAAGTCATACATAAAGCAAAATTGTTAATACGTATTTAAAAGAAAAACAAAAAAAAAAAAAACAAGAAAAAATTCAAGTTTTCCAGAGAAAAATTATTGGAAAAGTAAACTAAAAACAAATACATATATTTATATAAAAATGTTATCTTAATTCGAAAATTAATTAAAGGTACATTTTTTCTGTATATTTTGTATTAAATATGTATCAAAATTGTTGTTTCTCTAGGAGACAGTTTTTAACAGCCTAACCGTTATGCGGACGTTTGCAGTCGACTTAATAAATTAAATAAAATTTTGAATAGTTTACGGATGCGGAACTGCGGTACTTAAAGTCCATTATTTTAAGCTACAATTGGCCCGTGCTAATTAAAAGACTAAAGACGGTAAATAGATTGTTTCTATTATTTATTTCTTTCGCATCTCTGTCCGTTTTATCATTTGGCTTGGCATTATTAAGTATGTTAAACGATTTATGTATGTTTATGATTAAAAAGATATATTTATATTTATACTTTGCACACTTACGTCTGTTACGATCTGCTTCTTCGGCTAATAGCTTTTCAATTTTCTCGGGGAAATGCCGTTTCGCGCACCAGACTAAACCGATTACGGCCAATACAACGAAAACGGTAATTAGACCCAACCAGAAAGGCTCCTGTAGCATACGTTCAGAAAGCGGCTTGTAAGGTATGTGTAGCATACGTTTCTCACATCTTTGACCCTCCCACCATGCGTAACACCTTCAGCGACGTCATTGACAAAATATTAAAGCAATTCTAATAATTTGAATAACTTAGTTTAATGCGTTTCACCTACCGACAGAAAAACCCACTATTTTTCTCGTGGCAAATACCGCGACCTTCGCACGGATTATCCGCACATGGTCGTTGCTTTTGTTCGCATGTTATGCCCATATAACCGGGCTGACATTTACACTATATACAAATTTAAAAAAAAAAAAAAAAAAAAAAATTATTCTACTAATTTGTTATAAACAAAACAAATAAAATAAAATAAATAAATGAATGATAGGGAGGAAAGTGTGCCTTACCTTAAAATTATTGGTAGTTAATTCGCATTTACCGAAGACACAAGGCTCCAATTCGCATAAGTTTAAACCACAAAATCTGTAGAGTATAAACGGAAGCGTCAAGACGCATCAATGATCAATGATTTACTATCAACACTTCAATTTTCAAGCACGTTAATGAGGGCTTAGCTACAACGTTGTACTTACCTACCCGTATAATGGCCCTGGCACTGGCAATAGCTGGTGCCATTGTTTATTAAACATTTACCGTTGTACTGACAAGGATTTGGTTGACAAGACTCGACAGTTTTATCACCCGATGCTAATTTCATTTTGTAGTTATTATCTGGAATGTGGAGTTTAAAATGCGATAACTAACTAATGCCTATAATAGAATGCAATTTACAAATGATGATCAACAAGGAAAATTGCATCCTAGGGTATTGAGATTATTGCATTAATTATGGGCATGTTGCATGTGAGTTAAATGAATACAAAAAGTGGTCGGTCTCCTGTTGCGTTTCCTGTTATCACATATAATCTTAACATACAATCTAATGAGCTTTTTGAATGCAACTCATTCAAGTCATTAAACTGACTGGCTGAGTGTCTTCGTCTCTCGCAAACCTACGATGATTTGCAGTTTTGTGAATTTTTTGCTTAATGGAACTCAATCCAAATGCGTGGCATTTCAATGAGGCGCTAAATAACTTCTACGATGTTTTGTTTTCGTTTACACATAGACAGTATAATTGATAGTCTGCTATGTATTCAAGTAAATTTCGATGTTTTTTTTTTTTTTTGATAAATGAAAAAATGAAAATTTTAAGAGAAATACATACACACATAAGTAAGGCAATTACTGTTATTATCGTCTGTGCTTCACATTCTTTATACCCTATTTGGAAATTGGAATCCAAAGTTTATCCAATTATTCCAATTATCGGTTTTGGTTTCAACGGAATTGACTGAAAATCCCATTTTTGGTCTACTTCGTACAGGAGTTGTGCAGAATACACTGTTGCAACCACGCCCAGCGCACTCACCAGGCATGGCACACGGGTTCGAAAATTTGAAGAAGTGCGAAAATGGACCGCTGTCTTTCGACATGACATCGCCATGTTGCCAAAATTATTTTGAATTGTTGTAAAAACTGATGGGAACTATCTATCTTAAGTAATATATGTATTCTATCAATTTTCCATAATAAATTCCTTTTTCAAATCAAAACATGATCAAGGTTTTTGCAAGCACTTAGTATATACTTTACAAGGCCGAAATGTCAATGCCCTACAATGTTGGGATGGCAGTGGCCCATTTTTTTTTTATTTTTTATTTGAATACATATATCATAGAATTTATTTAGTACAATATTATAGAGGAGAAACGTCCATAGAATATATAGTTTGTGTAAATTTTTGTCGTTGTATGTATATAAGTTGTATATATGCGTATATTATTTCATTATTTTTCGCTTTCGAAAGCAGCCGCTTTCTTAATGCTTTTTTGGACTATTTTCAATACCTAAGTGCATGCAAGAGCTTTCAATTTCTTTGCCAAATTTGAAGGCAATATTTTAGTCTTCAATGCGAATTTCTAAATATCACAAGCGAAACAATGTTTAAGCATATGCACTTTTAAGGTTTGTTCAAAACAAGAAATTGCTTTTCATGTATGCAATGCCATGGAGAGATAGATAAACAGTACGCACTCCCCTATGAGAATAAACAAATACGAAGTATTTAATTTTTTTTAAAAATATCAATTAAATATAAACAGGTTCGGGTAAACGTTCGAGTAACGGATCCCCGAAAAAAAATACAAAAATTCTTTGTCAAAATCATTCCCTATTCGAAATAAAAAGTTGATATAGACCGTAATAATGACTAATAATTAATTATTCTTTCTTTATAAGTCAATCGATATTGCGCGATATGTCATATTATGCCTACTATCTACTACTTGGCATTTGCAACCAACATTTTCAACAAGCTTCGAGCCTGCTTCTGTCGATGTCTAGGACGCACGTATTCATTATCACCTTCATGATCGTTCCGTATCGCATTTAGTGTTCAGAACATCCACCGGCAATTCCTCAGAAACGAATGCAACCAGAACGTATTAATGTTTGTTACTGATTTTATCGGGCCACTTTTGCAGGAAAATACGTCTGTTCAGGCAATAGCAATGTGTTAATGGTGCTCACTTCCGCTACATGATAGTTCTAAAAGTTCCTAAATGTTCTCATACGTTTGTTTACTGGGCAAACAAAGTTCAATCACATTTTTGTAAAACAGTTAGTTATACAACGGAATTTCACCGAAACAGTAAGTAATATATGTTAGCAGAACCTTGTAGCCTATTACTCTATATATTGTGTGCGCTTTATGAATCCATAAAAAAATTGTACAATTTTCAAGCATGCGCGAATTTTCGGGCATCCAGGAAAATGTATAAGTTCCTGAATGCCTTCGTAACGTTGACATTCGCTTATTTCATTTGAAAGACCTTTTACCCTTTTTTTTGCGGTCACGAGATACTACACAATTTTCATATTTCTTTGCGAGAATCAGTTGATTGATCATTTTTGCGGGACGCTTTGAATAATTATCGCGTACAAAAATGAAATATTATTATAGATCTCCTACTTCTTCTCCTAGCCGACGCACTAGCCGGTTCTGTTATCTGATTCGACTTTCTAAACATATACCTCTTAGCCTTCTTTTATTAATGGCGTTTTCCAGAATTGTCCTATCACTCCTGTCCCAATTAGAGATCACAAGCTTGTACCTACGAAGAGCCAATCAAAAATTTTGTGCTCATTTATTGAAAAATTAATTCAAAAAAGAAAAAAAAGAAAACACGCGTTGATATGAATTCTTGATTTCGGAAAAAATCATCTGAAAATTGTTCATAGAATCGACAGAAAATTGTCAGCCGGTTACTAAAGGATGTTATTTTGAAAATGCAGTTTAATAAAGGCGGTTAAACAGCAGAAATCCATTTCACACTTCAACTCTAAAAAAATGTTGGTTTCTGCTTTGAGTGCTTAACATTTTTCCCGCCACCGATTGGTTTTTGTTCTTGTCTATTTGTCCAATTAACTTCTTGCCTCAATAGAGATGCAAAAGCATTTTCAATTTTCCGTAAGAAATTCTTGAGAAATCGTATATCGACATACTAATGTGGACAAATCGGATGGGACGGGACTATTTCTTGAGGTCTCTTCCATATAAATGTACTTAAAATAAATAAGAAATACGAATTAATTTTTACTATTTTGTTGAATTATTAACTTTGTACAATAGCAGGCGAAATAGTGGTTAGCTTTGTCCAACCGTAACGTCTCAATTTGTTTTTATGCTCTTCGTTTACGACCAATGGCAGAACATCTTTCACGCGCATAAATCTACAAACCGAGAGGAAGTAGCGGTAAATTTTCAAATACAATCTTTTCAGTGTAGTTGCTAGCTAAGGATAAGATCCGTTCATTCCATAGTTAAGAAGGTTATTATCAAAGCAAATTTCATGTTATTTATATGCCCCGCGGTGTATGCTGAAATACTTGATAAGTTTATGAGTCGTCGTAAACAACAGTGAATTGCTCAGCTCTACTTTTGGCAATATGCGATAATATTAACGCAAGCTACTATGAAATAACTTTTCATATTTCATATTTCTATGAGAGCGCTTCGTGTTCGAGAGGATAGTGAAGAAAATAAAATAAGTAAAAAGTGTCTGCTATATGGCATTCATTTTCTTCATCATTATATAAGACAATATAGATCCTTAGTAATGGAGTGAATCAAAGAGCTTTCAAAATTCTAAGAAGCGGTGGTGGGAAGTAGAAAGAATCGTATACTTTAGCATGATCTTCGATGCACATGTCCTTAATGTGGCAGAGTAAATGTCAAATTGATTACATATATTGTTCTAGTAGTGTTGTTGATTGTAAACGTATAACTAACTAAATAATCAAATGAAAATATTACAAAAAATAATGTAAATAAACAAAAAGGTACCGTAAAGTAATGAGTGACTAAGAGATAATTTTAAATGCTTGCATCACTATCTCTATCTCTAAAATATCTTTTTGACTCTTGACAAGCACGGTTTAAATATTACAGTGTTACGTACAGTATATAATCATAGGACATTAATTTGGCACTTACCCCATTGTAAACGTATTGTACAATTGAGATTAGCATGAGATTTGGCAGTGGTGCGTTGACGTACATATAACGTATTCAAATAAGATGTTATGTAAACGGGTGGTGGTTGTGGTGGGATTGGCCTGAATTGCTGACGTAATAAATATTCAGCAACAGTTACCGACGAACTTTCCATATTACTGCTATCGTCAGGCTCTGACGAAATGATTTCTCTGCCATTGTCATCAATATCTGTAATTTTAATGCTCTTGCTATTGGTTCGATAACGCAACGGTCGTCGATGTGCATATTGCACAGAGGCAACGTGATAATTCTCATCAATGGGACTTCGGTTTGGTGCATTAGCATTTTTATATTTACATAATTGCCATTTAGTGCCATTATTGTCGGCATAATTGTCATAAATCTGCGGTTAGAAAGAGATGTAAAGCAAAAGGGCACAATAAGAAAACACGAAGCTACGAGGATAGAGAAATTTCATTTCTTTTTCACATAATAAGTTGTTAACTATGAATCTTAGTGGATAGCATCGAAATGGCTGTCTATGATGTGATGCAAACCGTGCATGCACTCACGCCTAAGGCGTATAATTGCGTGACAGCTTTTCCTCGAAGAGAGGACACGCCGTACATTGTATGATGAAAGCATAGGTAAACTAAGGTTAACATTATGTGCATTTTTTTTTTTTTTTTTTCTACACTATGGCCTAAGGGCTAAGGCATCACTTTATACGCTCACATAAATTTTCATTGCACTACAATACATGGCTATTATTAGCAATATCTCAAATATGTTTAACATACTTTTCTATCTATTATTGCATGTATATGTCGGTATCCTTGAAAATGTTCCTGATATGTTCCTGCTGTAAATACGAGCGTAGGTTTGTCTTATACGCAATGTCTTAATAGCTTATTTTACTTTCTTTTCTTATTTTATTACTTACTTTCAACTGAATTTAGATAGAGAAAACGTACCTCTAGTAGATTATTATCTTGGCAGCCATTCTCAGTGAATTCCACACCGTGCATTTCCAGTAAAATGTTATGACCAAACGGTGCCAGTATGTGTTGAGTGAAATCAACATTCTCGGGCATATCATGCGGATAGTTTAATTGATAGAGGTAACCGGTGTCATTATTGGTCAAGTTAATGACACGTTCACGTCGCTCGGTTTGCCCCACTTGAAAAAAAAATGTAAAGTAAAAACGAAACAAAAACGGAAAAATGAGGAAGAAGGAACGAGAGAAGATAATTTAGGTTAAAATTAGAAGAATTCTTTTGCATAAAGAACATTAAACTTACTCAAGTATAACATAGAATTAGTGATATATTTACCTGTATGGTAGACAGCTCGGAATCCTTTTCCTCGCGGATGCTGACCGGTACGGAACTGTATGCGCAATTGCTCTTTCAAGCTAACAAACATTCCATCGTTTAGATGCTGCACTAAACGAAATGGGCTGAAAAAGCCATTACCTATATCAACTTCTAACAAGGAATCGGATTGAAAATCGAATTCGGTAAATTCCAACCAAACGCGACGACCCCCCGGAGCCTGTATGACGTAAACGCAATTGAGATTGTTGAGCAGAAAATGGGGAAAATTTGGACTATAAATAGTGCCCTCACGTGACGTTAATGTACGCAAAGGGCAACCAGAGATATCAATTGCTTTCCACACGGCAGCGAATCCCAGCCCCGTTATTGAATAATCGCTATGAAAATTCAAAACCACTTCATTTGAATTGGAAACAAAGTCAAATTTGGACATATTCGAATCATGAGCGCCACACCATCGTACATAGGGCAGGAAGGACTGAGCGTTATCCACATTTGGGGTACTCTCATCACCGACTATAGTACTGCGTCGTTTACGTTTCACTTCCATATCGCCGCCAATCAATTGAAATCCCTTTCGATTTTTTTTTCGTTTTTTTCGATTTGGATACTCAGTAAAATCGTTGTGATTATACGTAAAATACGTAAAATAATTTTTCTTGTAAAGACTCTTGTTGTACCAAGGCTGTCGTCCGTATTCGCCATTACTTATAAGTTTTCTTTTTTGCGAAAATTGATGTTTTTTCCTGTTGTCATTTCGTTTGATAATTTTACGACTTTTTATATTCTTTACTTTTATACTTTGATCCTGTCGTTCGTGGTCGTCGCCATGGATGATATTTGCACAGGGAATTTTCATAGACCTTAACGTTGTTGTAACATATTGGATGTTGCATTTCCTTTCCATTTTCGTTAACAGTTGATGCCCTTGTGGCATGGCAGTGTTTACTGTTGCTTTTCTTGTACTTGTCTCTCTTTTCGTTCGTCTACGTAATCTACGTCGTAATTTTATATTTTTGTTAGTGTAACTGCTTTTGTCGGCTATGTTGCTATCATTATCTCTTTCAATGGAAATATTTTCGTTGCTCTCGTTGTTATTATTGTTATTACCATTTGCATTGCTTTTGATGTTTCTGTTCCGGTTGTTATTCTTAGTTTCATCCATAATATATTGTTCATCTGACATTAACATGGCCAGTGGCATTGTATTGGTGCCGGGCTCAAGCATTAATTTCGATACAATATCATAATCCTGTATGCTGATATAGTCGTAAAGACATTCATCTTGTGGCTCTAAATCGATCTTTTGAAATTGCACAACAATTCGAGTACGCAACGGTGCCTTGATATGTATCCAATAATCTATATTTAACGGATAATTATTCGGGTAAGCTGTAAATAAGTAAAATGAAAACAAAAGATAAGGGAAACACTTGTTTTGCTCTCGGCCAGAATTTTCTTTCGTTCTGTTATCCCCTTCTACCACCCTACTGTAAAACTATAAAAACTCAAAAAAGTGCATCCAACTTGTAGGAGAATCGTTCATATCCTTCTACTAAAGGGAATAAATACACACTTTTTTGTTTATTGGCAGCAATGTGTAAGTAAACCGCGCAAATACATGGACGACGTGACATACAAGCTTAGATCGAGCCCGAAAATAATTCGAAATAAATTTGACATAATAACAAAAAAAAAAAAAACGTGAGTTGAGGGTAAATCGTTCTGGGTATTGCAAACATCTGCACAAGCTTAACATGTAACCTTACCATAATTGATGTGGGATGTAAGGAGCTTAGAACAATTGCACGAACAACTGCCCCTTTTTCGATTATTCGTTCTTTCTGGCGTGCTTCTATTGCTTTCATTTACTTTATTTTTTCGTCATGTTTGAAACATTTGATTAACGCCGTCTCACTGTAAAACACTTTGATTGTTGTAATGTAAAAAAGGAAAAGCTACGCTACCCTGGCCTATTAGTCGCGTTAAAAGACTCATGTCTCAAACAGCTTGACATAGGTTAGCGTAGACAATACGAAAACTTTACAAGATCTGAAATTAGTTTGAATTTTTTTGTAATCAACTAAATTAATTTGAAGCTACGATAACTTTTGCAAACAATATTTTCTATCTAATTCGTTCAATAGCTTCATTTATTGACAAATAGCCAATTAGTAATAATTGTCGTCGTAAAAATGAAAATATCGTTTTCAAATTTGGCACAAAAATTGGAAGTTACTGCAAGTGGGTTGTGACTTCTTTCGCCTAACATAAATAAATCAAGTATGGTAAACGGCGAACCGATGTGGAATATTAAATGATCCGTCTCGCCCGGCTATATAGCGTTTCAACGAGCTTTTATATTCGAGTTGCTGTCTTCTTTCACGCTTCCTAATTCAATATTTTCAGGCTTTGGTGGGGGCTTTCCAAAAATGATCTCAAAAGTCAGACCTATAGGAAAAATGCGATAGCTTCCATCGTAGTTGCAAAGAGCAAATGTATCATTACAGATCCATTTTGGCAAAATTCAAATGAGTTGAGTTGCTCCAAAAGGTTGTCATTTCAAAAATTTTATGCAAAGCATTGAGTTTAAATGCGATGAGGCAGACATTTGACATTAACTAGCGAGCGTCATGCTGCCAAAGTTAAATTAATACTATTGAGTTTATTCCACTAAATATTAGTTACTTAGGTAATGCGGTGTATGCTTATGTGTGCACATCACGCCGGAATCTGTCTTAAAAACTGATAAATAAATTGGCTTTAAATGGCTAAACTTTCTCTTCAAGACAAGGATATGCGTAAGGGTCTTATTCACAACTATTTTAACCACACAACCATAAAGTTGTGTATTCCTTCACATCACTAAGATATTCTTTTAAAAATAAGTAATAGCATAATAAATCTTTGCTGTATTGACGGAACGATATTTATATGTACATATATATATATATATATACGCAAGAGTATATGTATGCATCGAATTGCGTATATATTCGCCGTTTGTAAAGCAGTATCATATCCGTGAAATAACTGCACATAATGATAAATGAATAACTATAACAATAGTAGAAGTGATTCTACATACCTGGCGACATAAGACGTCCTTCTGTTCCAGTTATTGTGAAATTATTGAAAGCGAAATTGCCAAAGGATTCTTTTGGCTTCTTACACACGTAGCCGCCAACTTTATTGCACTTTTGCGCTTGCCAATATAAACCAGAAGGCAGCATTGGTGTGGGAGACATTTTCCATTGTAAGCCCAAGCAAATGGCATCTGACGGCAATACATTAAATTGACCCTGGCCCGGTAGCCAACCCTAGTAAATTAGAAAATGAATAAATAAATAAAGTAAAAAAAGCAAACCAAAAAAAAAAAAAACAATTTAATAAATATTAAACTTATTTATAAATATATATTCAGCTTAAGTCAGTTACTCTTGATATTCTTGATAAACAGCAAGCAGCTTTTGTATGCGATGTGGTTACAACTACCATATCATTTCTAATCTATGCAGGAACCATATTTAAAATGCTATAATCCTGATTCGCTATTTTATTGTAAGAGAGAAACAAAATTTCCTACTTGCTTGCATGTATTTTGATCATCGATATCCGATTTACATTCAGCTGAAATTGTCTAAATAAGCAAAAGAGTGTAACTAAATGACGATAGACTCGATTGCAGACGATATTTTATAAATAATTTGTGTTACAATTGTCCAAAAATTTTGAAAGGAAAACCATTGTCATCGGATTGGAAAGCTTGCCGCAATAAGCGACGAGCAATTCGAAGCAGATATTGATTTGAATGTTTATATAAGTATTTCGGAAGCCATCTAAAATGCAAATATAAAAACTAATCGTAGTGGACTGGTGAGAGGTCCTCTATTAATAATTTAAATTTCAACATTATTATTAATTAATTAATTAATTCGTAATAGTGGGCATGAACAGTTTGTCTCAAGGCGAATATAACTGCTCTTTAAATATTTGTTTGTTTAAGTTGCTTACTCGCAAAAGTGAAAATTTCCCATATTTTGAATTATTTTGGTTTTTGCTTACGCTCAATGTCACAATATGCTTACTTAGTTAGTAGATAAGGAATTTAGGAAATTTTCTTAATTATCAATTTTTGTTAACCAACCTGGAAATTCATTTTAGTATCATCTGTCCATTCAAATTGACCGCTCTTTTCTAATTCAGCTCCCAGCCAGTAAATCAATTGCGGTGAATAATCAATTTGATTGCGTATATTCGAAGTTATGAATCTGTGGAGACAGGGAATGTGTGTGGAAATAGGGAAGAAAAAATGTACGATGTGAGCATCAAAACGGTATTTAAAGAATGTTTATATGCAAAGACTGATTGAGTTAATTTGCTTTACTCATTCATTTATTTTTTTGTTTTAAAGGCTATTTTCAACATACCGATGTTCATCGGCCGATGAGACGGATGTCAGTTTGGCACCCATGCCGCGACATACTTGTTGCGCTGTCCACCAATCAACTTCCGGATATGAAACGAATAAATAACAGGAACCATTGTATGGCTTCAAGCGTTCATTTGCGCACTCAGATGCAGCTGCAAACAAACAACAACAATAAAAAACAATTATATATAATAAAAAATTGATAATAAGTTGTTTTGGTAACAAAAACAAGAAAAACAAAAACAAATTAAATAAAAATACGCTATAATTGAATTGTGATCCGGGTAGAAAGAGGAAACAAACAAATAAAACAAATTAAATTTAAATTATCCAAAAATAATTATAATTACAATAAAACATATAAATATGTATTATTATTTGCACATATATTGTTGAACATCAACATACGCACGGCCCTGCGTTACTTGCATGCACGCTAGGATATAAAGCAAACGAAAAAATTAAAAAAAAAATAAAAATAAAAATAAAAAAAAAAACAAAAATTACAGCATATGCAGAAACAGAAGAAATAATTACACTAACCGACCGACCGACCGTGTACATGTGTATCATTTTGTTTCGTGTTTTTAATATACGTCGGTATGTTTGCTCATAAAAATCTTTACTATTTTGAAAAAAGGAGAAAAAAGTTAAGTAATTTGTTTACTGAATTCGTGCAATTACTCATATCCATCGGGATGGGATCTTAGGGAGTATTGTGGTCGTGTCTATAATAAGCATCTACGATTGGGCATAAGAAACCTTGGAGAAAATATACATATTCTTGATCAGTGTTGGCATTGGAATCTATGTTGTGATATAGATATATAGAGCGTTCACCTCTACTATTATCAGTTTTCCTCCAAACATCGCATCTACACGTTTAAATCGATTCCAGATGATGAGTTTGAAGAGGGAAAAAGCTCATCCATTTAAAGCCATCTTCCGGGAAGTTATAAGATATCGGAACAATTTTTGAAAAACAACTTCGATTGGTTTTCTTCTTCTTCTTCTATGTAACGTTTACGGGAAGCCTTTTTTTATCATGCGAAAGTCATCACAATTGGGACACACTGACACGCCCAAAATCATTGAATTGTTGTGTGGTATCCAAAATTCGTCAACGAGCAACAAAAACGAACAAAAAAAAAGAGAGTCTTTGCTGCTTGTTTACATTACAAGCATTTTAATGAATTTATGTATTCTCATGTGTTTGCGCACGTAAGCTGACTAATAATAACAAATTGTATGAGAGCATTACTGCGTACATACGAAATATAGCATTAACGATATTAAAAAACTTTAAATTGATGCCATTAGCGAATACGGAAAACAGTTGGTCTCTCCGCATCGAGCACAGGCAAGCCAGGCAAGTTGCCGCAACCCTCTCATAACGCGGCACTTCTACACCCCGGATCAAATGTTGATATCAAAAATGTGATCGAGTCGAGAGAAAACGATATTGATGGCGTATTAGAGTTCTCCAGTAGTTGTTTGTCGAAAGAGAAAATTGCGAAGCAGATTTGGCGGACGTGGCATCCTAGGTAAATACAATCGACTCTGAGTACAATAACTCTGATGAAGATACTAAAATTAACAATTGCACGCTTAAAAAATTACGGGAGAATAAACATATATCGTGAGCGCTGCCCCTCCGGCTGAAAGAAGCTCAAAATTTAGAATGAAGATGCAAAATTGATGATCGCAATATCAACCAATTTGCAACAACCTTTCGAGAGAAAGTTTGTGAGTTTTTTTGAAGGTGCAAAGGATGCGTAAAACCTAGAAGAGTCGGAAGATCGGAAATTGAGCATAATATTTGTTCAATCAAACAAACGTTCTCGTTTAATTGAATTGAGCGGCGATGACGATGAAAATTATGAAATGAAGTTTATAATGAACGAAAGGTGCGGGGTATATGAGCGATATAAGGAAGCTGCAGAGAGTAAAAAATAAAATATAGATATATTTTCGAGCAGCATCAAGTTTTGTCCATCTGTTCGTCTCTATCAATATTCCGTGTCTGTTGCAGCCATTCTTCCCTTTGTAAAAATGAAGATATCACCCCTCAAAGAACACACCTATCACGCCTACACGCCTATGTAACAAAAACTGAGAACAACTTTTGCTTTCTGCATTCTTCGCTCGACACTTATAAACTTCAACAGTTTCATGATAGCCTGTGACCGAGTCTTTTTTTCCCATCATTGTTATCCTAAAATGGAATAAAGTAAGAGAACTACATTTCTATACTCTAGGTTATTGAGTGGATGTGCTTAAATTTGTCAATTTTTGTAGAATAAAAGGGGAAAATTATATCGTGTGTTGTGTCAGCACCTAACTGCATGCAAGAACTTCCAACGTCATTGCATAGATGGACAGGCGGATAGACGGATATGCTTAAATCGATGACGGGCATAATAAACATTTTGAGAAAAAAGAGACCAAATTTAATGCAAAGATATTAATCCAAAAAAAAAAAAAGAAACAACTAAAGCCATTTTCTTAAATTTCATGTATATCTCGAATAACCGGAGATTGCAGCCATAACTGTTGCAATACCTCCTATAATTCATACGATGGTTGCAATGTTTTTAATCATTATCGTGCATTGAAGTCAAATTTCCCTATTGTTTTTTTTTTTTTTTGATATGCCTGGGCATTGAAAACTATCCACTTTGGTCAACAAATTTTCTGATCTTCAATAGCCAACCGTTCGAGATGATTATAATAACGTCACTATTATTAGGGACTTCGTCTTTGTTTCTTTGATCATTGCGCAACCATCTTCGTCTATCTGACCGGATCTCTGCTTTATGTCAAATCTGTATGTGGTCAGTGATATGGGCTGTAACAACAACGAAACAAAGGCTTGCAAATATGAAATTCTAACAGAGAAGATATTTCTGCTAATGTCTACACCAAAAACCAGTTCGACGTCTGCTATGATTCATACGTTGTCATACGTTATTTATTTTTTAATGCAGGGGAAAAATGCCATTCTGTTTATAAGATCCGGCAACGCGCATTAGCTACCTAATAATACTCTTTATTCAGAGCAACGTTCTAAGACGATATAATCCTATGGTCATCATTTATCTCTCTGCCAGGCTATCCTCTGTTATTTTACAATGTTTTAAGTTCACTAACACTTAGACATATTTGTATACATACGTATATTCTTAGTTGATAATCAATCGTGCATCAAATGAAGCAAGACAATTTAAATTTTCAATGTCAATGGGAGCAGAGTTGATCTATGAAATATGGCGATCCTATGGGAAAAACTTTTAAGTTATTACACATAGAGGTAAAATTTTGTGCAAATATTCTTCAAGAGTATTTGAATAGCTGTTGTAAGAGAGAAAAAGTTCCGATGCGCCAATAACGATTGAATGAAACTTTTAGTTTTTGTCCAAGAGCCGTTTTAGGTCACAGTATAAGTTGTCCGGATGAAATCTAAGTAAAATCGTTTCTTTAGCATTCACAGTTATGTTCCGCGTACAAGTCGTACAAGAGTGCCGCTAAATCGTGGTTTGGACGCGACATGATACATACAGTCTAATTAAATCCTCATTTCAGGGCAGGCAAGTCGTCACTATTAACGGTAGTACTGCCGAATACCCATCAACCGAGCATTAGAAACTATCAGCTGCCTGGAATATATTATGAGTAGTTCCATGCTGAAACTAAGGGAAGTAGTTCCAAGCGAAAACTAAGGGAAACAAGTGAAAACGAATCGATTGTTAAACAAAAAATGACTACAATATGTGTAAAGACAATGTAAGACGACTTCTCATTATAAGGATGTTCGACCCAATACGGAAAATTGCATCCGTGAAACGTTAGTAACGTTTAACTGGAATGTGCCCATTTTTAGCAGCAATGGTTTTCGAAGTAAACCGAAACAATTGTTACTTTTACAGCTGATTGCGTTTTCTTTGAACAACATTCGATCAATCGCAAATTCTGTGGCATAAAGTGTAACGGTAGCGCTTTGATTTCAAATTGCCTGGGCATTATCCAGCATTATATAGTATCCGTTAGGACGTAGCTTGGCAATGTAGAAATGGACGGTACGTTTAGGCGCATCATGCATGCTTTTAAATTTAATTTGTAGGATATATGTCTTCCGGTACCGATTCCTTGTTTCATGCATTGATCAAACTTTTGTATCTCTTTGGAGAACCTGGTGCGCACATCTCTTACGGACCAAAGGTAGCTAAAATAACTAAATTGCTATGTATTGTGTAAGAAGTTTTTTTCAATTGCCTTGCTCTAAACAATTTAAATTTATTCAAGCAAACAATTAATGAATATAAAAACATTAAGAAAAAAAGTACATTTTATATAATATATCCCTTTGACAAAGAAAGGAAAGAAAAGCAATAGTTTTCTAAACATTTCGAATAATTTCACGTTTAATTTAACAGAAGAATGCATTTTGCAATTGCTTTATAAAATTGAAGTTATTTTATTTTATTTATTTATTCTTTTTCTTTTTTTTGTTGTTTGTTTTTACCCGTTACCGGAGAGCATGTTACGATATTCATAGCATCTGCAGCAACTGGTTTTACAGCACAGTAATATCCACGTCGCGTGTATTTTTGTTAGTATGAAAAATTCAATTGACCTACTTATAGTGAAAGGCAAATGAAGAATTCGTATTAAACTATATCGAAAACAATTTTTCAATTGAACTGTGCATCAAACGGCGGAAGCTGCACTTTTGCATATGTGCAAATGTACAAAAATACTCATACCTTGAGTACTCTGTTTGAGGAAAGTATAATATATTGAATGCAATGGCAACGTCGGCCAAGTCAACTCACTATTCCGTAAAGTATGCAAAGAAACAAGTCAGAATTTTCCCTAAAAACATTAGTGATACCCTACAACACCCGTGGTACAGGGTATATTAAGTAGATACACGGTTGATTATACCCATCGATTCACAAATGATTTTGAGCTTGTCCGTCCGTCTCATCGGCATGAGGATGAAAGCTATCGAAAATGGTTTGAATCGGACCACATTTGCGACCACTCGCTATATAACACGTTATTTTGCAAAGTTCTTATGTAAACAATGCATTTTAGTAAGTGAGATGATGTAGGATATTTAGTGTTGGGCCAGGGCGCTCTACGATGTTTTTACTTGTTTCTGCCAGTAAATGCAATTGCAAGATTTCAGCTTCATTTAAAAAAGAAAAAACAGCAACGCTTAGCAATTAACGATAGCAACATTCGTTTCACATACACACTTTTATCTGAAGTGACGAAGTGGTCATCTTTATTAAAGTGTTGACAAAGGACGATAGGAGAATCAAGTTCATAGTTAACACTATACCGCGGTAGACGTAGCGAAAACGAGTGCGAAACGAGTGCGAGAGACTCTACACGGGACAGTAAAGCCAAGCTCATCCAAACAGAGTTCAGTTGATCATCATAAAGTCTAGCCGCAATATTGTCAAGGCTAAGACTGTTAAGCTTCTAATTCAGGGCCAATCATTTATCACCTAGTTTAGGGTGGGTTTGTCTCAACAAAATTCATTGTGTTATCATGTTGTTGCACGAACATAGTTTCTACAGATATAATGAATTTATGTCGAAAATTTGGCTTGGATGTTCGAATTTTTTGTACCCCTTCTAAAATTGCATAAATATTAGCCTGCAATTTGTGATGGAAAAATTAACTATACTGCAAGTAGACAAAGCAGCTCTCTCTTTTCGATTAAAATCCATATTAGGGTTCTCGTGAAAAGTAAACCTCCGTATGATGATGAATAGCTAAAGAATGATAAGATCTTTGACAGGGAAATTACGAGGACTCCAATTAAAAATATGCTTTTACCCGGAAACAAACAGTACCTTTTCGCATTTTATCACAAAAACAAACTAAGAATTTTGTTAGGCCAAGTTGTGTAACATGTTTAATGATTCGAGTTTACGTCAATTATTTGGCTTATGATGACGAACCAGTTAGTAGTTAACGCTTTCACAGCGAAGATGATTCATGTCATTGACAAGCCCTCGTCCATAAGCACTTGAAAAACTGATTCGATCTTCAATCGTTTTAATCCTGGTCATAATATCTATTCGTACTGGAGTGGACTTATATCGGAAATTATCTACAAAATTTATATCCCAGAAAGTTAGCGTTCAAATGTGAACTAATTAGATGAAATTGATTTCAAATTTAATATTTTACGAAAATCTTCTAAAATTTTAGGATAGTTTTGCCCCAAAATTTGGAGTGATTTTTGCCCTCTTTTTTTGCTTAATTATTATAAAACGCAACGTTGCTGTTTTTCCCCGGACAGTTTTCGCTCTTCCGTTACATTATTGGCATTAGTATTAAGGCAAGTGAATGCAAAGAATTTGTTTTTTTAGTTTCTCCTCGGGGTCTTAATTTTTATGCTCCGGATATTTACGATTATATGCGGACGATGGAAATTTTCATATTTTACAAAGTAAGGATAAAGAATATGGAAGTGGGAGAATTGATATAACTTTTAGCCTCAAATATGTTTTGTTAAGACTTTTTACGAAACGGTCCTTTAAATGAGTGTGGAACGTGTTTGTCTCTTAAAGTGTACGATGCTATATCCTGCCAAACTTTAAAATTTTCGCCACCAATTGATCTGAAGTTGGAAGGGAATGTGTCAATGTTAAAATGGAGTAGGCCGTAGAACAGGACTTAAATTTAATCGAAGCCCTGATGGTTGGCTTGGACATGGACGGTGGCGCCAGCCGTTTCCTTTTCCATAATTCATAAACATATTGACGATGGCATCGATGTCAATTAAAAAAACACTTTACAAATTAAAACAAAAATTAAAAAAAAAAAAATACAAAAGCTTCATAGTATACAGCAGAGTCCGCAGAACAGAAAAGTAGATATTTAGGTGACTTGACTTTATGCTTGTAAAGTGTGTATTAGTACATGTATCATACATCTGAGAAATGAAATCGAAATCTGCTGGAAACGAGATTTGTTCGCTCTGCCCAGGCAACAAGAGGTAGAATCGTGGCTTACGAAGAGTCAAGTCAATGAAGTAGTCTTATAAGCTCAATAAAGTGTAGTGCCGCGGAAACGTAAGTCTCTAATTTCTGTAAATAAACTTCCTTTGATTTTGTAATTAATTTTTTGTAATTTACTATTCTTTCAATTTTGTAAATAACGTTTGGCGTCTATTCAAAATGCATTGCTACGAATTTAATTTACGGACTGTTGGGGAGAGCATGCAAAACAATAAAGAATTTTATAAAAAGACTCTCGACAGCCAACCTTTGATCTTTGTATTATGAAAATCTCCTGCACTCATCGCATTATTCATATCGATAATCACAAATGTTGATGTTTGCAAGTGAATCCCTTACGCCTCACCTCACCTGGGAGCCGATAAGCTCGATTATTGAAATTTTTTTTTTTTTTAAAGGAAAAAAAACAATTCTGGATATCAAAACAATACACAAGTGCACGCAAACAGGCACAAATTTCGTAAATTAGTTAAATCTGGAAAACACAAACATGCATAAACGTACGTGAGAAACGAAAAGATATTAAGTAAAGTAAAACCGAAAAGATAACCTAAACCAACATATCAAGTAGAGCATAAACTTACCACGCAACAAATAACTTCCTGGATAGATTTTGTAGTTGCAATTTGTGGCAAAATTACATTTATATGTTATTATGCACAACGGATACCCGTACATATATATATATATATATATATATATGTATATATGTAATTATATATACATATGCAAATATATATAAAGTAGAGTAGAATAGTGATGACAGTAGCGTAGAGCAGGAAGTAGTAACGAATTTATTTATTTATTTATTTTTTTATTTATATCAAAACAGAATTGAACGCGATATAAACAATTGAATGAAGCGCGGCATATAAATGTTTATTATAGAAAATAATTTAAACGTTACACGGATTTGGTGTTGATGGTTATTTAGTTGCAGGGTGCAGACGTTTTATTATAAAGATTTAAAATAATATGTATATATATATATATATTTATATATATATATATATATATATATATATAAATATAATATATATATATATATAAATATAATAGTAATAAAAGTGTATATTTTTCATACTTAGTTGAAGTTATATACTATCCGACTATAATAAAACAATAAAATCACAATACATTTAAAAAAAAAAATACAATTAACAAAAACAAAAAAGGAAAATAAAAATGAGAATACTGCTCTTGTGATATTAAATATTGGAAGAATGAATTATGTACGACATTTTGTAATGAGATATGATCGCATATAAAATTTAACAAATAATAAACGTAATCGATTTCCAAGCCTTCATAGTGCAACCTTCGGGTTTCATTTTCATTATTTTATGAAAAATGATATGATGAATGTACGTACGGACAGCAAATTTTCGATATTTAAATAAATAAAAGAATTAATTAATTTTCAACCATAAATAATGTATAGGGGATTTCCTGATGTTAATTATTGAATAAAAATTTGCTATAAAAATTATTTGTTGAAATATGTACTTTTAATACAAGTCAAAGTAAGCCTAGCACCCACCGATTTTCTGACAGTCATCAACTTAAACTAATTTCCATGAAAGAAAGATTGAAGCAATTTGTAAGTGTGGGATGAATTGCAATTTTGATCCTGTTACGTATTTGTTCCACGTACCAAGCTAATGTTTCCTGAATCCGGCAAGTTATTGGCGACAATGCAAGCAACTTTAATTTTAAAAATTAAATGCTTCTGGGGAAGCGGGCGATGACTGTTAAGAGATTGCTAGCACAACTCTGACTGCTTTGTTTTATGTATAGGCAAAAGTTCTGCATGAGTAACGCAGAGCAGTTCATTGTTTATGCAAGCACGGAAAGGGTAGGGCGCAGGTTGCTCTTCTCATCAATTACCTTGTAATTTAATACAGATAATCAAACATTTTCTCAGCATTTTTTATCAATTTTACTGGTTTTATTGCCCCCTTTCTAATTATTGCATGGGAGTGTTTTCATAGCCTCATCAATGCGAATGTCTTTCCTTTTAAGTTAATTCAGTTGCCATTTTCATCTGACACTTGGATTGGTAATCTACAAATTATACTCCAATACTCTTGCAATTATTGCAATTTTCTGATATACGAATTTTTAAAATGAATGAAAATTTGATATAACGAAATATTTCTACAAAAATTCTGTTCACAAAAGAAAGCAAAAGGAGAAAAACTGCCTGTGTAAATACATTGCAAGTACAATTTAAGCAAATATTATGGTGAAAGAATGGGAGTGGAATCAAGGGCTGACAAGTGCTACGAAGACTTTGAAAATGGTTTCGATGGAACTAATTAAACAAGAAGAGCGTTTAGGAAGCCCGTCAACCTCGTCCACTGACGGAAATACCAACAAACTCTGTCTTTATCGATTTGGGCCATTTTCGAGTTCTGGCGCAGATTTGTAAGTGATTACTTCGTTTTTGTGAACGGTCGAAGGCTTACCACAGATATTACGCACTTAGGCAGACGGACATGCTTAGATGCATTCCGATTTTCACGCTGATTGAAGAATGTATATATATACTTTATGGAATTTTTGAAGTGTGCATCTGGACGTTATAAAGGTTTTGCTAAAGACCCGCTAGATACACAACGATATTAGATAGGTGCATAGGATATCCGTGGAAATTTTCATAGGTTTATTTACTGTACTTTATGAATAATGCAGAAAAGCAGAAAAACAATGCTTTCCGCTTTGAAAGATAGAGATGCTTTCAAACTTGCGCGGCAGCGTAAGCGTGTCCTTCGACCTGTTTGGTCCATTTTCAGTGTCAACCTACGAGCAGGAATTATCCATGCCGAGCATGAAGGCGATATCTTCATTTTTGCAGTCACAACAAACATTACGCAGATAGGTGGGCGGAGATGCTTAAATAAAATCAGAATTTGATGCTGATCAAGAGTATATATACTTTATGGGATCTCTGAAGCTACCTTCTGGGTGTTGCAAAGGATTTGATAAAGTGAATTTGGCCCTTACACCTTTGGTAATAGGCATAGCAGCCGAAATGAGGATAAAAAAAAGGTCAATGGTTGATGCGAACTTAAGTGGAATGCATACTAATCGTGACTATAATGCAAACACATTCGTTGTTGTATTTTCTTTTGTTTTTTTTTTTTTTGTGTTTTTGCCAACAAAATTGTTGTCCTTTTTGCTTTACCATAGATAACTGTGTGCAGTACATATATTAGATGGAAAATAATGATTAGTGCGAATCAATATAATGACATTAATTAAAGTTGCAAGAGGATACATTCTCTATAAAGCGAATTTTGAACTAATCGGCCCATTCTTTAGATTCATTATTATTGAAGAGTCGTTTTTGGTTAACCAATGGATAACGCAATTTTCCAGTCAAATATATATACTGTCTGATCTTGATTTATTCTTGGGAACGATTTCAAATTAATATTTGCTATTATTAGATTTGTGAAAGTGTATCAAATTTATGGATTATTTTAGACTTTTAATTAATATAACATCGCGTAAGATGTTTCGAGTTGTACAAGTCACAGACTTATTGTAAACATAAATGGAGAAAGTAATGAGCGACGGACTTAGTTAACCAAAAATTTAACAATGGTTACGAATATGTAACATACATGTTATATGAATATGCCTAATCAGACCTCTAGTGAGCATTTGAGATTGAGATTACATATGGGATAATTAAGCCTCGTTAAATGCTACAATAAGAGGTCAAATGAATGTATGTGCGAAGAGAAATTAGAATTAAAAAGGAAAATAAATTGTCTACTATGCAGGATATGTATGCATACATATATGTGTAGATGTGTATAATTAATAAAGAGTAAGCGAATTATGAAATACTCACTATTTTCCATATAGGTTTTGGCCTTGTAGCCGCCGAAATGATGCGAATAATCGGAAACGAAATGTAAGCCTAAATATGAACTTAACGAAACGTAACGTAAAAGTTTCAGTTTCGTACTCCAATCTCCGCACAAACGTTTCGGTAAAATATTATTATTTTCATAATTTTTGTTTTTGCTGTTATCGTCATTAACGGTATGGGCTGTCGCCGCACGATGATAGTAAGGATTACCGTGCGGATAATCTGGTGTTTTCACAATAAAATTGCTTTGTGGCCCATAAAGACTTGAGTAAACTTGTAAAAGCTTTTTATAATTATTTTGCGCCATATCGTAGTTGTTGTAGTCGGTATTTAACGGCACGTATTCAGAATGAAACACAGCTGCTGAGGATGTTAACGACGAAGATGGAATGGAAGCAGCAGAATTGAGTTGATGTGCTGGTACTGATGAGTCATAAGAATTTCGCTTGCGTAGTATTTTTAAATTATCGCTAACATTATTATTATTTTTATATTTATATACATAGTTAATATTATTTTTACTATTTGTATTGCTGTGTTTCGGGTCGATTACGTTAAGCAGTTTTGGACTTGTGATGCGCTGTCTGGAAGAAGATTTTGTATATCTAAGCGAATCAGAGAACTTCGGTTCTGTTATCTCAAGATAATCGTAAGTGCAACTATATAAATATATAGAAATGCATAGATATTTTAAAATGATTATAACAATTAAAAAGCGTAAGTTGTGCAAACGTTACCCTGGCTCATTCTCAATAACAAGCTCTTCGAATTCTATGACAATGCGATAGCCCTGGGGAGCAGTGATGGTGGTGAAGCAATTGGCATTGTCGGGATATTGGCGCGGAAAGGAAGGACTCCATATGGAAGCGCGCGGATGTTCTTTACTCAAAGACACCGTTTTATTGCAATCATTTAGCCAACTGCGACGATAAGACTCTATATAAAATTAGAAAATTGGAATTTTCTGCATTTCTATGGTCGCTCTTTACTTTTCCTCAATGTAAGCTTACCATCGCCCATAGCTCTTTCGCATATTAAAGCATTTTTTGCATTGCAGTCGCGATCATTCCACATATATTTACTTGTAAGGGGCCCACGGCTTGTTTGTACACCGGGTGGCGTACGAAAATAGCGCCTTAACTCTATGCAATCTTGGCTACTTAGGCCATCATCGTTTGGCTGCTTGTTGTAGTGACCATGTTGCGACCAACCCGGAAACCAGTCTACGGAAAAACCATTCGTGAATTTTCAATGAATTATTTCGCGAATTTGGTTCCGTTCCCCTACTTACTGGTATATTGAAACATTAGACCATCACTCCAACGGAAATCTCCTTCGTAGCTTTTATCAGAGCCACCGACCCAGTAGGCGCTTTGCTCTTCATAACCGGGACTATTTAGTAATAGCTCATTAATTGTTTGTTGCTGCTGTTCGTTCCGTATAGACACTAAATGGCCGCCCAATTGAACACAGCGCTGTTCGGCCTCATGCCAGGTCATAATCGCTTCAATGGCCGCAATGCAAAATTGTTGCATTGCTATCCAGCCAAAGGCACAGCTTGACACAATATCAGGCTTTGGACGAGCCCGATATGATAGATAAATAGCCGGATGTGATGTATTTTGAGAGTTAGACGTCATACTATTTGGGCTTTTTGAAGCCGGACGAAACAGATGCACACTAAGAATATTGCTGGACGACTCCAAAATAAAACCGCGCATATACTTAGTATTATTTACGCAATGTGACCACTTGGAATGATCATTTTCAAATACTTTTATAATAACACCAGCACAATTTGCAGTGTTCGTTAAAGCCATTTGCATGTTCGCTTTGCTGGCTGCCAGAAAGCCAAAAGCATCCAAACCTAAACTAATGAAAGCTTTGTTCGCCTCTTCTTTTAGACTTTTTGAGTAATTCATACTTGGCAGTCTTAAGAGAGCGGGTAAATTTAAGCCATTATAACTGCTGGGACCGCTCAAAGTTAAATTTAATAGTTGTGTGTCTATATTTGCGCCGTAACTGGTAAAAATTGTATACATATCAGCTTCATTGAAGGCCTCTCTAGTAGTTGAAAAGGAAGGCATAATAGTGCTGTCGTTATTCGTAACCATTCTCAAAAGCACTCTGTTACCATAGGGCAAATGTATGCGAAAATAACATTCCATGACATCCCGTACACTGGGACGTATATAAAATTCTCCCGTTTCATTGCTAGTCGTCACATTATAACAATAATCGACTAATTTGAATGACAAACTAAACATTGGGTTCCTATAGAACTGAACACTGGTACGATGTCTCACATCGAAATGATATACACGATCGTTGTCATTGAGTTCTTCCAATTTACCACATAGCGGTCGTCGTTCAGAAAATCGTACATAACCGCCACTGCCACAGGGTACATTAAGCCTTTGTAATTCGACTAAAATACCTGGCGGTTGATTTCGCTCAGTTTTTTCTTCCTCAATTTGGCTCTCATTTGGCGAATTTCTTTGATCTAAGTTTCCAAACAGAGGAAAATGTACTGTACAATCGACACAGTATAAAGGTAGCGTTGTATAATCCAAATTACCCACCGATGTCTCTTTTAGTAGTATTTGGCAGTCTAATGGGCACAAATTGTATCGAGTTGTATAATAAATATATAAGGGCGGAGAGAGAAATAAAAATATATATATATAGACAGAGAGAGAGAGATGGATAGATAGATAGATAGATAGATAGATGGACAGAGAGAAGAAAGAGATAAAAAAGGAAAACACAAAAACCCAATACTTTTTCAAATACATTTTTATTCCTCTCGAAGCATTTTTCCTGCATTCTAATCATTTCCAATAATGTTTTTATTTGTTTTTTCTAACCTATTACTTACCTTTTCGCAATTTAAATTGAAAAGTTTTCCTATACATTAACACCGAATAGTTTTGCGTTGGTGTTCGATTAAGAGTCGCTTCATTATAGTTACTGCCTTCCGAGTGTACGCTGTAGTGTTTCCTGTTATCGTGACTGATGTTATTGGCGTTCTCCCCCTTGTTGTCTTTACTCATTCTCAAACGAAAAAATACTCTGAAATTGAAAACGGAACGTTTCAGTTTTACCATAGAAACTCATTTTCTAGTAATGACCACTCAATCAATAAACTTCACAAAAGCTATCATATTGCTTAACAACAATTGCAGATTTCATAAAATCAAAACCAATGTTCATCAAAGGTCTTTTCCCCGCATGTAAGTGGACACGTACCTGAGCGCTTTAACTGTTAAGTGTTAACGAACTACGTTGATGTTCAGTATGTGATATACAAAAAGGCTTCATATAATGCGAAAGGCTTAATCAGACTCTCTTTTTACGTACGATGTATTATCTTCTTGCTTGTATATGTATGAAAACAGCAAGTAAGAACATTGCAGTCGGGCAACGCCGACCTTGATTTTGCTTAAAACAGTCATTTATTAATTTTTGTGCGATAATAAAATAAAGATGATGCATTATTTTAATGTATTATGAAAACGTACTATTCATTAAAGCTCTCATCTTGGCAGATACTCAAAACTTCAAATGACATGAATCAAACCTAGGAAACTTAATTTATTTGTCAAAGATTTTATTATTTTTCAGTTGTTTCCGTCGTAAATAACTAGAAATTAAACTTTTCCGCCGCAACCCTTCTCTACTTCTCATGAAATTCCCTACATATGATAGAATATACATTATTTACATACAATATTTAAATTCCTTAGCGTTAGTTTTTATGTTATATTGCCACGATGAACCAAGTGATCAAAAAATAGACCTACGTGGTCCAAATTCGATGCAGTGAATCAAATTAATCAAGTTACCTTTATGAACTAATTTTCATCAAAAATTGAACATTTTCGCTATACTTCTTTTTCATGAGAATCCATATATATATATATATATATATATAGACTTAGGTGGTGCTTAATTTTTGCGTCTAATTATTATTGTGAACCAATTTTCATCATGAAATATTGGTTATTGGGGGGATTGAAAAAATTACATCATCCAATCCAAATTTTCCGCAACAACTTAGAAGGTCAAATTACTGAGCGAGTCTTGTCGCAAAATTCTGTAAATTGGGGTAATTTTTAATTTAACGACCTTTCAAAAAGGCAGGGACAGACATCAGACGGTCTGACGGACAGGTAAGAAGGTCAAATTACTGAGCGAGTCTTGTCGCAAAATTCTGTAAATTGTGGTAATTTTTAATTTAACGACCTTTCAAAAAAGCAGAGACAGACATCAGACGGTCTGACGGACAGGCAAGATCGATGCATGAAAACGATTTTGAATCAATTGGTATGATAAAAAGTGTCGACATGTTTTGACCCCTTCTGGATGTTACACACATCCGAAAAAACTTAATACGCCCTGTATCGCAAGTGTAAGTAAAGCTAATTAATTCATTTACGTAATGTAGAGTGAATTTAAAAATGCTTTTCTTCGTAAATGCTTCTCTACAATTTTTTTTTTTTTTTTGTTATTCTTTTTTTTATTGAAAAGAAAAGAATTTTTTAATTATATGATGAAAGCGTTTTCCATGAAAATAGAAAATAATTAGAAGGAAAATATAATAAGACGATACACGGTTGAGATAATAACTTCAGTAAAAGCCTTGAGCATTAATTGATTGTTTCAATTTTAAAGCAGTTGCGGAATAATCTAATTATTGTTACTATTAAATTTGCCCTTAAATCTTTTTTTGTTATTTTAAAAAAGCAGATGTATTCTTGGGTTTTATTGCAACCTGATCGTGTATTTTGAATAATTTGGACCTTGGGCGTGTTTATCACAAACTTTGCCCGGACTGGCAGACGGACATGTTTAAATCGTTTTAAAATTTGATATTGATTAAGATTACATATATGCTTTATTGGGTCTGTGACGCTGCCATCTGGATGTTGCAAGCGTTTGACGACCAAAACGACGAATATATCCTACATCCCTCAGTGATGGATATAAAAACTGAATGTGTCAAACTTTAAAGCTGTGTTATAGGTAACTGTACTCGGCGCTTGGTCAACTACCTGCACTTTCGATTTACAAAAGCATTTTCAAGCTAACCTGAGTCTAAAGCATTGCAGCAATCCCTCAAAGATGTCAGTCTAAGTACACTGTAAGATTACAAGTGCTCGATAAATCAAAGCTGAAATAAAATTCTTTTTGACGATTTGTAAAATCTCTACTAATACCGATCATCATCACATTGCTGATCATCGCGATTGCTGGTCATTCGTGACCGCGAATCATCACTACTAATAACAATTACTATTGCTCGCTACTATTGATCATTAAGTTGTGACAGGTTGCCGTTGTGAAATTAAGAAAACAAAAAAAAAAATAAATAAATAAACAAATGAAAGCTCAAGTTGCTAAAATGATCCTTAAGTGATGAGAATGATCTCGATTGACTTCTTAAGTTTGCGATTTGCGCTTGCAAGGTCTAGAATGGGACCATAAAAATTTGACATGAGGCGAGTAAAACTTTATATATACAGTTTTCTTAAATAATATCGTGCGCAGCAAAAATACAGAGGAAGCGAAAAGCGTTTATCCGCCTAAGTTATTAACGTTAACAATACATTTAACAGAATATATTTGTCTAGAAAATCGTTTTGTGCTTTATATGCAAAGTGTTATAAGCATTAAAATGCAGTCAAACATACTTCGCATTATGGCGACGCTCTCTACATTATGCATACCTGAACTCGATGATGTCCTCCTGCTCGCAGAGTTCATTTACCAGCCATAAACTCAAGGATTCCGTTGCTGGATTGCCGTGTGCATTTATAATACTTTTTGTACTGCCACGCCATTTATTATCTGGACATATTTTTGCGTTTTCTCCTTCACTTAGCTTATATCGTTCGTGCAATGCTGTTGCACCGTCAACTTGTCTTTTATGTTGAAGAGAACGCCACTTGTTGTTAGTTGTACTGTACGCATCGTAAGCATCGTGCCGTTTTCGTCTCAACGTTAAATTGTCTTCTCTAATATAATGAAGCTGATGATTATCGTCAGTATTATAATCAATAGATGTTTGATTATCAATATCATCCCATTCTCCAGAAGATTCGTTTGATGTAAAGGTGGAGGCAGCTGCATATTCATTGTTAAACAATTGTTGGTTTATTTGTTGCTGATAGGTATTCTTGGTCTGCCAATTCCCGCTGCGTTCAGTTGCACTGGCAAACCATGAAATTGGCAACTTGTTATCCAAAGAATCACTAACAAAGCTGCCGCGTTCCTTGGAGGTTAGCAGCGAAACGGTTTCAATATGAAAATCTCCTGTGTAATGTGCTACAATTTGCTGCGCATCGGGTGTTGCTGATTGCGTTTTATTTGCAAACGATGATGGTGATGATGATGATGATGATGATGATGATGATGACGGCGGCGACAAGGGCGAGAATAAAGATAATGTTGATTGCGTTGAAAATGACAACGTTGAAGAGGTAGATAGTGGTGTACTTGTTGTCGTTGCTGAATTTGTTGTCTTTGTTGTTTTTGTTAATGTCGGCATAGTTGTCGTTAAACGCACTACAATAAATATAATTTACATGAAGACTGTGAAAAGGATTTTTTTTTTTTTTTTTTTTTTTTTTTTTTAGATAATATTTGTGTGATGAGCGCGTGTGGGTATTACAAAGTGACGTATTTTTCCAGCAAAAATGAGTTTTTTAATTAAATTGTGTTATATGAGTTGCCGTGGGTTGGACTATGCATAATGAGTTTCATAATATTTTAAACGTTTTTAGGGCAGCAAAGATGTTATATGCCAGTTTTTAAACTGAAAATATAAAATCTTTAAGTTGTAATTATGTCCATATCCACAGCTTAATCATGCGCAAGATATATTTAATTAAAGACGTATCTTAACCATTCGTTGTTTCGGTTGTTGTATCTCACGCTATTAAATAAATTTATCGTCATTCCTTTAATAAACTGTACGCAAAATGTTTTTATGCATCAACTACCCGGTGCGTCTCGTTTTACGATATATTTTTTGTATTCTTAATCATTCGTGGTAAGAATTTCTTCAATTTGTGCGGACATACGTAACGCTCAGAATGACTTATGATAGATTCACTTCTCGTCATTCAGAATTCAAAATTATTATCTGAATCTGAACTCATTTATTTAAGCAAGTTGGTCCGTCTAATGTCTACCCAAGCAGTCTTTGTGCTTAACCTATAACCGGAATTTCGGAGGTAATTTGCTAATACTCGATACATTCATAAGTTTTCACTCGAGGACGAAAGCCACCTAGATCTCGATGGGTCTAGCTTAACGTTAAGTATTACATACATGGGTAGAGAGCTAGAGTATAAATATTAAGCTCAATAATAGAAATTGATAGAATTCCAAAAGTCATCGCATATCGCTTAGTACGGTTGAATTCAACGCAAGTTCATAATTTTTTTTGTTTATTTTACTTTGCTAATTCTGATATTCTTGTATTCGAAGGCAGTTGTAAAAAAAAAGTTTACTTTCATTTTTGAAGTTTTCTTAAACATTAAAATTGTTTAATAGACTGTAAATGAATTTATTTTAGCCGCCTAAGCAGCTTTCAGTTTGTAAAGGGTACGATCATTATTCAAGGCACTGACATGCGTAAACCGTAACTTGTAAATGAACAATTTTTACATTGACATGTGTATGGTAAATATATGAAAGCAATAAATGAAAACTCGGCTTTAAATGTTTTCATTAGGGCTGAGACGTTTTGTTTTGGAATGTAAGTAACACTGGTACGAAATAGACCATAATTATATATGTAAATGTGTATGTGTGCATATGTGCATGCAAACATGTTCATATAAAACGCAGCCTACATCAGTAAGGCAGTAAAAATCACATTTGCATTACGTGCTACGGTTTGCACAATGACCTTGAATTTGTCTTTCATATAAATTTCATTTATTGTTATTGTCTTGAATTTTCTTTGTCATAATTCGCGTAGCTTTTGTGATTGAAACTGTTCTCGATGGAATAATGTTAACATCCTGCTTAACTTGTTAAAGTACATTTTTGTGCTCTCTGCTAAGACTTAACGTTAGGTATTTTTTAGAATATTTGCAATATTTTTATAGGCTTCTATAAGAGGGCCTAGAAAACGTGAACCGATACGGTTCGACTCTCCTTTTCATATTTTTTTTGTGAGAAAAGTTATTTTTCCATCTATTCGTGCCACAAATTGTGACAACTTTCACATCGAGAGGGCTGCGAAAAATTGACCAATGTGGTCCAAATTTAACAGAATAAATTTGGAGTTGTCTTTCATCACAAAAGGTTAAAGAGTTAACGATTTTGCCATATAAAGGCTAATTTTTCATAAGAATGTTTATATGTATGAGAAAGTTCAAAAGTTTGTCTGTCCCATTAAAGTTTTCTACAGTCGTTTAATATGCCATAATACCATTTTGCATCAATTTTCTTCACACAATGTCTATTTTAAGTTCCGTCTTTGTATGGGGAGCGGTGATAAAGATCTTCCAAACAAATTTTTAGGACAGTGCTTCTGTTTGAGCAAAACATACCACTGTACGAAATTTTATCAAAATATCTCGAAAATTACGACATACAGGGTTAATACGCAAAAAACATGGACGGATATTAAATAGGCAAACGTATAGATGGCCAGATATGCTTAAGTCGTTTTAAAAAATGAATTGAATCACTTAATATGATAAAAGATGTGTCCATCTCAACTTCGTCTGATCCTATAATCAAACATAACTGGTCTAGCGTATAATCAGGAAATCTTTCCATGTTACATTTATGCGAAAGACACTGTCAGAGATGAGAGGTATCTTTATATCGTATACTACTTGTGGTACAAGTTTGTGTGGATGTATGCAATACCTAGAAGGACTTGCGATAGATCCATCCTTTACTATTATGCCGATCGGAAATTGGGAACACCGACGTGTTTTGGGTCAAGGACGAACGCTATTGAAAACGCCGCGGATCGGACCACTTTTTCAACCACTTGTCATATAACGATTTTTCAAAATATATAACATATCCATAAGGTGACGTTGAGTATCTAATGGTTAGCCGAAGCCCACTATGGTATTTGTATTTGCTCTATACTCTTCTCGATGAAACTAATAATAAGATCGGACTTCAAACGACGCCTATGAAAATGTCATGCCTCTTAAATCGTTCGCTTACAAATTATCATAGAACCAAAAGCCACTAAATCTCATGCACAGTTACGATACGAACACTGAAAGAGTGCCATGTCCAAATCGAGTAAGAATAATTGTCAGAGACCTTACGTAATTCCAGATTTTAGATAAATCGTGAAAAGTGCTGAAACCTATCAGAAAAACCGACCTTCATCACTCTCTCCAGTGTTTGTCAATGCCGAAGTCGTCCCAGATATGCCTTCCCCCCCATAAGTATAAGAAACGAAATTAATTATAAAAAACTTTTATGAACTTATTCAAGTGCAGTTTTTTGATATGCTTTAAATGACTAAAGGCTAAAATCTGTCGCAAAGACCTAACTTCATTTTGGCTCAAAGATGCACTCTCTTGAAAGTGGATAAGACCCGATTACTTTTGCGATCACACCCGTATAAAGTCTTATTTCGATATAGTCCTCATATGAAAAAAATTAAAATTTTCAAAATTTTTTACAAAAATCATTACTCAATAAAATTTTGGTATTTAAAATCGACGTGAAAAATATGGATCGGATGGAATGGTGTTTTGGACCCGTTTGTATGCAAAGTAAACTTCTACATGAGAAAGCAGTCTAATATTTAATATATCACAGTGCGAACTGGTTCATAAGGGTAGGGTAGTTTGACTTAAATGTCAACTCTACCACACTTGGGCCATATACGTATTCTTTTTATTCCATCACGTATACGTTTTGTTGTAAAAAATATGCCTCTCTATGGCAAAAACTAATTTGACATAGAAATGAACTGATAGCAAATTTGGACTACGTTGGCCTTTTTTTAAACGATTTTTACGTGACTAAAAGGTTTAATTTTGGATATTTTGTATTCAAAATTGGCCTACAATAATAATTTGAATGTGAGAGAATTGACAGATTCGTAGTAAATTTGGACCACCTTCTCGGGAAAAGATATATTTTTATATGACATGGATGTCTACTTTGTAGATCGTTATGAGAAGACTGTGTGAAGAATATTAAGACCAGTGGAAAGAAAATTAATTTTGTTAAATTTGAGATTCTGGGAGAGGATGAGAAGTACGCTTATACATCCAAAAAAGGGAAAATTGTTGGCATTCAATCACGGAAATAAGCGAAAAATTTGCATTAGATGAAATGATATAGGGTATTTAATGTTCGACCTTGCCTGAACTGTATTGCTCGTATTTGGTTACCTTATTTCTCTGCTTCAGGAACCAAACACACGTTGCTTGAGAGACATCATCTTATTTTCGTACTTATGCATTTAGAGATATTTCCCGGGACTTAACAAATGAAACGAGAAACTTGGCAAGCAATTGCGTTAAAATCGCGCTTATAAAAAGGTTTTTTCACATTGGCTAAGAACTTTTGCTAAATAAAAACTTTTTCATTTTCTTATGCCGGTAATTGAAAATAAATATATTTTTCGTTTTTGTTACGATGAAATGTAGATAAGTAAACGACATTGTCGAACTTTTAACGAACACTACTATAGCCATCTAAATCTACAGAAAGAGTCAATGTGTGCGTATGTGTATTATTAAAAAAAAATTTTATTAGATTGAATTTTGAACATTTTAAAGCAATTTCGTCAAATACTTTTGACAATTTGTTTCTTCTTCTTTTTATATTCGCGAAAATATAAAGCGACAGATGTACGCGCCGTGTAAGTGTATCGCATGCATTTAACATACGTGTAAATTATACATGATAAGCAATAAATTCTATATGCAACACACTCTCATATGTTAAAACGTTTTGTAATTGACCTTTTTTTACCCTTATTTTCACTTGAGGGCTTTTATAAGCTCTTTTCTCAAGTTTTCGTGTGAGGGTGTGTATTTACGTTTGAATTGACAGCTGATGATTGGCAATTGGTTTTGTTTGTTTTCGTTTTGAGTGTTTTGTGTGTGTGTGTGAGTGTGTATGTTGAGTTGTGCGGTTTATTTTTGTATTTACGTTCGCTTCAACACTGCTACTACTATCACTACAGTACTAATGCCACCACGACCCGATAAAGTGTCATTTCCATCAAAATATGTACATTTTGAAATTTTTCTCTTCTGTTTATTTACATTTTACAAACACTTTGACTACTAAATATGCAAAATGTGCATAAATTTGTGTACAAGATTTCAACGTTGATGTTCGAAAGAAAAATATCAATATTTTATCGATAAACAACTTACGTTTTATTATAATAATATTTATGGTTTGTGATTGCAACACTTAGTAAATTGTAAGCAATAACCTAACATTATAGTTAGTATCGTATCGCACCTATCAATTGAAAGACTTATTAACTTACTCCTCGCAAATGCTAAAGCAATGTTCTGCATATAAGTTATAATAAAAGGATAATTATTTTTGATAAGCATCAGATTTTGAGTTAATAATAATAAACTTCACAAAATTGTAAACGAACAAAGACAGTTAAGATAGGAAAAGTCGCATAGGTATACGTAATCAAAAGAATGCTAAATTGTGAATATAATTGAATATCAATCAGTAAATGATTTGGCACAACACTATTGAGCTGATGGGGGTGGGGTACGTGGCAATTGTATAACCACAAAAATCGAAGTGACGAAAGAGAACTCGATACCTTGGATGCCTTCAGCTACTACAAATAGATTTCTCTTAACTGTAGGCGCGATTTATTCAAAGCAATGTGACTGTCATAATTAGGAAAACCCATGTCCATGTTGAAGAACGTTTTCGAAATTCATCATCAATTCAAAACAATGCTTCATTATTTATGGAACTCTCGGAAAATTTTATTCCAACCTTTTGATTGCTTGCATATCGTATATATATTGTAAGGTTTAGTTCTTCAGTTAGGGGCTTGAAAAGCCCTGAAAGGATAAATTTTGTTTAACCAATACAAGAGATTTCGCACCTGTACATAGCAACGGGCACGCAAATAGAATACGCGAAGCATAACGTATACGAGTGGAATGAACCGTTATTTCCGCTGAGCAAAAACATACACATATAAGCTGTGCGAAGTGTGCGAGCTGTACTTCTTTGCCTAACGCATTTTTATACACTATAACTCCTGTGGTCCAGAGCAGATTGGGCTTAAGCGGATGACCATAATACCCAGAGGGATTTAAGGTAGCCCCATCTTTTGATGTCCCGAACAAATTAGAATCATTTTCTGTATCGATTTAAACCTCCTTTCTCTCCTTACCATATGTCCTTCTTATGTCTTTCCATGTACTTTTGCGTTCAGCCTACAGATTTTACAGAGAGTATTTTTCGAAAATTTTGAAAAATTTACGACATTAAGCTTTGGCCCGGGGACGAACCCTCTTGAAAATGGATTGGATCGCGTCACCCGCCATACGATCACTCTTCATAGGACGCCTTCTCTCTTGAGAATTTGCTGCAAAAAATCGCCAAGTAATAGTATTTCGTCCCCCCACATAACCGTTTCTACGAAAAATAACACCAATCCATAATAGTAATCGAACCTAAATATTAATTGTGCGAAAATGAACGACTTTTTTGCAAAAAAGTCCACTTTTTCGTATACTATTTCGAAAGTAATGAAAAAATCATATAAAACGAAGTGGTATAGAGTATTTAATGGTCTACCTTGCTATACGCTAGTGTTGTTGAGCAAACCTCACATTCGATATTTTGAGTTTTCTTGAAAACTAGTCGATTTTCCACCCCAACCCAATTTTAAAGAAAGGTCAAGCCAGAACACATTCATAACATTTTAGATGCCTCAAGCAGCTGGCGATTGTTGATAAAATTAACGGCAATTAGCAGAAAATTTAGCGGGAAAAAGGACTAGCACAAAAATGACGAGTGGAAGTTTGGCACTGGGAGCTTGCTTGTAAAAGGGTATATAAGCGAAATATTTGTGTAAGGCAAAGTTAATCGGACCGAGAGAGTTGAATTGTAATATTCAAACCGATAAGACCGGAAGAATCGTTGTAGAATCGTTGCTCCTGTAAATAGTTTGCATTTAGATTTCTTACGAATTGTAAATAAAACGTATTCTAGTGTAAAAATCATAATTCAGCGGTACGAGCTTAAGCTCGAACGGATTAAAAAAAGGAAACGTAAAATCACAAAAGCCAGTGGTATGTAACAATATATTTACTTGTTTCCTATTTATATTTGGCCGAGAAAATGAATATTCTCCGCGTAGACTAATTTGGCTATAGCTCGCAATTGCTGAAGGACTCTTTTGAACGGTAAATTATCCCAATCAACTTGAGATTAAATAGCATTTGCACTTTGTAAGAATTTGTTTAACCGAAAAGCGAACGAGTTTAGTTTCAATTTTTTTTTTTTTTTTTTGGTGTTTAATTGCGACCCTATATATTCCCCACTACTATCCATTTAAATAACACAAATAAAAAAGAAAAGAGAAAGAACAAGCAAGAAAATTATATGCGGTCGGAACCGAATCGTTTATATCCATCACCGTTATCCTAAAGAAGATAAAATAAGTGAAAGAACTAAATTCTCAGGGCGAGGCGGACTTTTTTTTTTTTTTTAAATAAAAGTTTTTGTCGTTAGGCGCGTTGGCGTTGCAGGCATGCCCTTCGAAAAGTTTAGCGCACTTCCAAACCCTTTTGCAAATTTTTTAGGCGATATTTTCATTTTTGCGAACGGGAGAATGTTTACCACAGACGCTACATAGTTGGGCAGACGGACAGGTAGACAGACGAACTGAATGACATGTTTAGGAGCATTACCAATTTGAAACAAGTTCAAGATTTTTACACTTTATGGGGTTTTTGAAGTTTGTTTCTACGCGTTATAAAGGTATTGGAAAAAAATTAAATCTTGATACACTGCAATATTGGGCAGACTGGGTGGGAGATTTATTCGATTTTTGTACAAGTGCTATATCCTCGCCCACTGAATGTGTGTTTCAATTTTTCTACATATATCTGCTATAGTTTCAAATCAATTTTTTATCCCTTTTGAAAGCAGAGGCATTTTCATTTTACGTGGTGCTGTGGGCGTGTTGTTCGACCGATTCGGCTGCTTCATTTTTGCGGCCATTACACAAGCGGACAGACGGACATGCTTAAATTGATTTAGAATTTGATGCGGATCAAGAACATATATATATATATATATATGCACACGTTTCGATAGAATGAATAAATGCCTCATTTTGTGATGATGGGGTATATTCATGGGTAATAGCTATAAAAACAAAAACGACAATGTATTGATTCAATTAGTGAGTGGCCATGAATGAAAATGCGATTTGATGTATGCATGAACTTATCTGATGTTATATTTAAGCAAAAGAACAGTTTCGGCGGCGGGGATGGTATTAAAAGAGATATTGCGTGGTGTGTAATTAATCATATTCGGATTCAGCAAATATTAAGGCTGATAAAGGATGTGAGGTATATGCGTTTACAAACCTTTGTACATTAAACCGCAATTAATGCCAAAATTTGTGGTGGTTGTATCAAAGGTATCGTGTAACAGCTCTAATTGGATTTGTAATCCTTGCGGTATACTGGTGCTATTTGCTTGATCTGCCATATCGACAGCATCAATTACGGGCACGTCGTCGAGAAAATCGCTTAACTGTGAAGCACAGGCAGATTGCACCGCCGACGATTGCATCGATGATGAATGTACTGTTCTTGATGTCGAGGTTGATGTTGAAAATACATTTTCCTCGTTCTGTTCAGCTTCTGCGGCGTAATTATTTAGCTTATCTCGTGTAGCATTATAATCTATATTTGATGTCATTTCGGCATCCTCGGCAAACGATACTGTCGCGTCCTCGTTCTCGTCACTATCATTGTTGTCATCGTCGATGACCTCGACATTGGCAATGTCAACATTATCGTTGACCGGCATATAATTATTTTCAGATTTTGCTAATCGAAAGTTAATAGCATCATCATCTGCTTGTTGTATAGTTCCCTCTACTGATGGCAAATCTTTACCGAGCGACGATGCGTTTGGTAAATTCGTGTTATAGTCGTTGATATTCCTATATTGCTTTTGTTGATGATGGTAATGAGTTGGTTGTTTGGTAGTTTTTATTGTTGCAGTTATATTTATCTTAATATCATCGTAATGAGCGGCTGCCAAATGTGTATCTTCTGCTGTGTTTGTTAATTCGGCTTTTGTTGTAACAATCATAGGTGGTCCCGGTGAACGTCCTGGCGCTGGATCACTATTCATGTGTCCCACTACTGTCTGCATGGCGTAGAGTCCGAAAATTAAAAGATAAACGACTAAGTTCCTCATTATCACAACAACAAATGCAGTATGCCGTCGCTGACTCCCCTAGCTGTAATGATGATGATTTTTGCGGTTGTGGTAATTGTAGCGGTAGTGGTAGTGGTGGTGACTTTAATGGCAATGGCTTTGATTGCTCTTTTAATTGGATTTCCATAGACCTATTTTTTATTTTTTTTTTTCTGGCTTAGTTGCGTATCAATTACGAGTTAACGCACAGATGACAAGTTTTGTCTCCGGATATCCGACGTTATCCTGTTAAAAAGAGTATTAATTGTTTTCACAATTGTTGCTATTCTATTGCCCAACTGCCGTTGGTTTAGCAGTCTTTGTTGTTGTTGTTTTGTTAATTGCTTTGATTTTCTTATTACTCTTTGTGAATATATTCTGCTGGTTTGTCTCGTTATCGTTATTATTTTTATTGCTACTGCTGCTGCTACTGCTATTATTACTGCTATTGCTAATTCAGTTACTGCTGTTGCTGCTGCCGCTGCTGTTATTATATCGGTTGTAAATGTTGGCAGAGTTCTTATCTCTTTGCCGGTCATTATTTATTATTCGTTATTGTTTTAACGTCAAATTAATGTAATTATTCGCGGCCGCCTGTGAGTCGACTGCAAATATTGTATAAAGAATAATTTCATATATTTTAATTAACGTATGTAATATGAAAAATTTAATAATTTTTTTTATTATTAATTATTAACCAAAAGTAATTAAAGCTTTATAAAAATGGCAATTTTAATAAAATAAAAACATAATCATTTGCGGTATGCGCATGTAAAAGCACAGGATGCCTGCAGTGAATGCCCGTGCATTGAAATTATGCACAAATATTGGTTATTTAACAACCAATCTTGTTAGTTAATAAACGGATATACATATATTTCTCGAAACTTTGATCACAGCTACTGCTAGTTAGATAACTATTATCGAAGCAAAGTTTAGTCGTCTAACGAAAAATAGAAGGGTACAAACGCTTTCCACGATCTATCTTTGGGAATACTGCGAGCATATACAATAACTCTGAACGTGACTGACTGTTGGAGATTTTTCCAGACTGGCAATCCGTCCATATATATCCTCGATTGAGTATAGTAATTCGGAAAGCTTGCAACCTAGCTGTTTATAGAATTGTTTATTGAACTAATCCTGGATGTATTAATGTAATGCCACACACGCAGACAGACTGCAAATGCAAATACGAACAAATTAATAAATCCAAATCTCGTAAAACTTTGTATCATTTCTATCAGTTGACCCGTTAAGGTTGGCACAAGCGAAAATATAAGGTTTCGTAAGGTTTCTGATACTCGTACTTTTTACTTAGATTATTATATTAAATTTAACACAACGCAATGTACATTAATATTATTATTTAATATTTACCATTTCTTCCGTGCCATAATAATTTATTTTCTCCTCTACTTGGTTTTCATTTTAATTAGAAGTTATTGTGAAATTGGAAAGCAATACCCATAACAAATATAGGTCGATTAAGTTTTATACTCTACACCATTTTATCATTTTTATTGTGTTAAAGCACCAGGTAATTCCCGACCGTTGCCTGATGTATGTGTATTATAGGCTGGTTTCAAGTTATGCAAGACAATGATCACACTTGGATTCATTATATAAAACGTTAAGAATGCTACTATATGTTTCTAATGTTCTTTAGCCTACGAACGGAAAAACATTTCAAGCGCTGTCAGATATCAATGGCTTGGTCAGACGAGAGCACAATACTTTTCATCCTATGGCACACCTTGTGATAAGGGCATAATCTGGATAGGTATGTGAAACACCCAGAGGAGACGAAATATTGTTTTCTTGTCACCAAGAGACATTTTCTGAATCAATAAATTAAATCATGCATGTCCAAGTTTAGTTGTATTGAGCTTAGAGGTAACAATTTTCAAGATAGTTGCGGGTACACACCCACGACTAGAGTAATGTTTAAGCGTAGGGTTATTTTAAAAGGCGACTTTTTATACGTGAACCATATTGAACTGATTGTTTTCGCATTACAATTATAGTTTTTAAAAGCCGTTACTTTATTAACTAATTTTTTCCTCTTTTCTTTAATTTAATGAAATACTTTAGGTATATATATATATATATATATATATAGTTTCATGGCCAAGCTAAGGCTAATTAAGTCGAAAAGTGTGCGAAGAACTAAAAATTTTCGCTTGAAAAGTTCATTATGAAAGGTTTTGCATAGTAAGCGTGGAAAACTCCACACCGACACACATATCGAAGATATTTCACTCGTAATAAATCAATATGCGATTGAATTGAGAAATTATATTATAATAATTTAAGTGGTTGAGAGCATCCGTTTTCGTTCGGTTTAAAAACTTTGTTGTTGCCTACGAAGGTCAGCCGTACTTGATAAAATCGAACATACACACACACACACACACACACACACACAGACAAACCATAAGGATTATTATTTTTTACGTTCATTCCAATATTAATGTCCGTAAAGATTACCTCATTACTATATGCCCGCATTAAATTGCTTTATAATCCAAAAAAAACCTTTAAAGATGTTATTCGTGGGATAAGTAAAGAGAAAAAACATCCGATTAACGAATTGTAAATATATTGAAAGAACTATAACGTGAATAAATAAATAGCTTCATTGGTGATTCGAAATCAAATGTCGAATGCTAACACCTTATGCTTACCTCACATTCCTTCCTAACGCGCAAATGTACAATTGTTCATTATAAGCAATTTCTAGTGTTATTTAAAAACAATTTGATAATGTCCATTAATTTCACTATTTATAATAAGATAGGCATTCTAGACAATCGTTTCGAGTACATACTATATCGTATATATATTTTAAATTATATTTCCATAAGATTTGCACACCGTTCTATGGGCAGTTTTCAAAATTGAAAAAGTGCATACAGAAAGTCCTATATATACATATTGCGGTTGTGAGGTAATTGTGGCGGCAGATGCTTAGTCCAATTTTTCTGACTTGAAGATTTTATTTAAATAAAAAAAAAAAAAAAAATTCAAATTAAGAATAAAAACTTGAAAGCTTATTTCAAGCCAATAACTTGAGCGAATTGCACAATTCTTGCTTTTCTTCTTTTAAAAAAGGACTAATCATTCAGCGGATGTCACCTATTCACGTAACGTGGCAACAGTCAGAAAAGAAACAAAGAAAGGAATAGAGGGTTAGTGGCCGCAGGCTTATGGGTGTGAAGAGATTTGAAACCGACCGCGAACACTAACTTGGTTATCGTCGCAATTCTTACCTACTCGGTTACTCATGCTGATAAGTTAATTGCTTTGCGCTGTGAATGGGTCACGTATGTATTTAATCTAAGGCACTTGTTATAGGACGTAGTTGGTGTTTTTGTCGAGTTCTACACGGAATTCTAAAGATTACGGAACACAACTAATATTTGCAACTTGGCTTCACTGTCTTTTCGTTAATTGCAAAGCAAAACTAAATAGAGCGACTTTCAAAAAACATCCTGCTCGCCTTAAAAAAAAATTATTTAATTTTGGTAAAATTCAGAAAAAATTACAAATATATTATATAATGAATTTATAATCACTAGACAAGTGTGATGATAGAATTGCTTGATGAAGCGTTATGTGGTCGAGACAATATAATGAAACTAAAATCATTTCTACTCCATCACTCTAAAATGTTTTCACCTTTTTTTTTCTGTTCGACGGCCATACAATCTAATCTCTGCCCAGCCGACCATGAGACGGACTTTCGCTGCTTGACGTGTATCGACCCTCACATCAGCTACACAGTGCGGTTTTCCAAGAAAGCCGGTTAAGTATAACACCATCGAGTATTTGTATATTTGTATATTTGAATGTCCAAATGTTTTATGATTTCATATTTTACAACAGACGCAAAGTCAATTAAATTTTTGATTTCATTATATTTCATTGAAGACTTATGAAGAAGTATTTTTAGAAAATTAAACGTCACTCCATCAACAAATATTCAAACTTTCCTTTATTATATACAACGTGATCTTCGTCACAAGGGTTCGTTGGTGTCGAAGAAAATTTGTCCAAGGAAATAATTACATCCTAAACAATTTGCTTTACATGATATATTCGGTATGTGCGGTTGTATGTAACATCTAAGAAGAGTTTATTAACTCGCACTCACTTTTCACTCACGATTCAGAATCACAGTTGATTTAAGTTTAATTGTCTGTCTGCCCGTCTATGTGTATTTATGTGCATTCTAAAAACCGCATTGCAATATCAAATTTTGGTGAAATTTGGTACACACCTATGCCGAAGGACGGACGCTATTGAATGTGGATTGGATTGGACCTTCTATTGGAAAAATTGTCATAAGAGAAAAAATTGCAATTTTCAAAATTTGGCGGCAATGGGCCCGATTTTTAACATTCTCCCATATATTCTCCCTCAAAGCTCCTAAAAGCCTTTACTTAGCGTATAAGTATTATTTTTAATTTGATATAAAGATTATCTGTACTTTATTTCAACTACGTGTTGATTCGTACCGTATATAAGGACTCCTATCAGCGGCATAACTCTACCTAAACACAAGCTATCACTTGTAATATTAGATACATAAAATAGAAAAGGACTTGTATAAAGTGAAGCCATGTACGATGTTCAATGGTCGCACTTGCTAGTCTGTTACGCTTTCATTTGATTTCTTGTCCGTTTTGATTGCAATTTTTTAGCCTCAATCAACATGATGAGTAAGACTTAAACCTCTATGAGTATCATAAATATATTTATCCGGTGCGAACCGATGTCTCCGCCGATTTTTTAGTAAATTAAATTTGGAAGAATATTATAAAAAATGTTAGGAGCTATTTTGTTCAATATGCTGCCCAACAATAACCATTAGTAGTCCTATTTTCTACGCGGCACATGAATTAGTTTAAATGGGTGTGGCACAGATAAGCAGCTGCTTTGTCGATGTTAATGGTTTGATTATTTGAATTTCGGATATTGTAACGCGACCATTATTCACACACTTGTAAAGCCTTAGCAGCACTATCCTTCGGATTAAGCAGGAAATAGCGTTTTTTTAGCGCAGAACGACGCCTATTCAAAGCTCCAAGGAACTACGTTGTGCAACCTTTAGTTACGCACCCTAGCACTTTAATTCATACGATTACGACGCATAGCTTAAAAACAGTACTTTCGCTTTTATTCAGCAACATGCTGTCTGCCTTTCTTTGCCTCTCTCCCCCTTTTTCCGTTCGAGAAGCTAAGAAACTTTGATTGTAAATACTAACTTGTGAAAACGATTATCTGAACTTTATTCTTCGCGATAAAATGATTGAATATTGGATGGCTGAAGTTAAATAAGGAATTGTGCAAGCACAAGTGATGGACGCCGTTCACGTTCCCTCATCTGAGATTACAACATCAGAAACGATAGAACAAGTCCATGATAAGTTATTTGACTCATGTGCGGCAATACTGAATATCTTGTACGAAAAACCGTTGGCAAACCAGCTTTGTGAGAGTTGGTTGTTGAGTTTCCCTACAATCGACCAAAAAGATTTTCGTGTACAGTTTCACATTTAAAGCAACAATTTAGAGGAATGCTTAAGGCCAAATAAAAAAA